GCTCTGTAAACCTTCACTCAATTCATAGTAAAATGTTAATAAAAAAGAAAACTTAATGCAAATCTTATATCCCTGTTCTTCTATCTTCACTTACCACTAATTCCCATAATTAATTATAAGCATTAGAAAGCAGTAAGAGTTATCAGTATGTTCACATCTTTCACCTGTCTCCATTAAATTCATTATTAGCATTATTCTGGGCATAACCTATTACCTAACACTCTAACTTTCCGGCAACCCTTATCTCTCTCCCCACCAGCACTCCCCACAAGCTCCTCACTATACTGGCTCAATTTTTATCTTTGCTAGCCTACACAAAACCAATATGTACAAAGAGGCAGATTTGTACTTTTACGTTTAATTTCCAACATTTATATTTGTCTTTGAATAATGGGAAAGATCTAGATTGTTTCCTCCCTTAGAGAGACATCCTAGACATGGACTATGCCCTCTGGAGATCATATCACAATGCCAAGGGCGTCACATTTAAATGCATTCTTTCTTCTTTTGTCTTCCTTATCAATGTCCAACTTTCATATGCATACGAGGCTTGATTGCTTGACTGTTGTGTCCATGAGCATTGACTGTGTATCCAAGCGTGACAAAATCCTTGACAACTTCAATGTTTTCCCTGCTCACCATGATGCTTGCTAATGGTCCAGTTGTGAGGATTTTGTTTTCCTTTAAATTGAGTTGTAATCCATACTTTAGGTTGCAATCCTTGATGTTCATCAGCAAATGCTTCAAGCCCCCCTCAATTTCAGTAAGCAAGGTTGTGTCATCTGTGTATCTCAGATCAGTAATAAGCCTTCTTCCAATCCTGCTACCACATTCTTCTTCATATATAACCCAGTTCCTCTGATTATTTGCTCAGTATCTGAATTAAACAGTTGTGGAATATAAAAAGACTTTTCCCCAGCTTTGTCTCCCCAAAAGATATGCCACACATTAGAGGCTATTTGCCAGCACATGGTGGGAGATGCTTAGAGATATTCACCCTGTAGACATTCAGTCATCAGTCTGGTCCACTGTTGGTGGGCCTCACACCCTACTGATATGTACCGTAGTTGTTTCCATGGAGATCTAGAGAACAGGTCAAACCTATTCAGTGACATCCAAGGTTAGGTCTCCATCATGAATCTAGGAGTCTCCCATCTTGTCACATGTGTACCCCCAGTCCCTCTCCTTCTTATTTCGTGTATACCCCTAGATCATCCCCCTCTCATTACTATATTACCTATAGTATAACCCCTTCCTGTGATGTATGTCTTTATGTATAATTAGGGGGCTTGCATGCTCCCCAAAGATATATAAGCCTTGGTTAGTAATAAAGAGCTCTCTCCCAGTCCTCTCTCCCCTGGTCCTCCTTACCCTCCCTCTCTCTCCTGCCCCGTGCCACCAAGAGGAGCTGAGGTGAGCAGGCTACCATGAAATGTGTCTGACTCCTTCCTTTTACTCTCTTTTCTATCTCCTCGATTTCTCTAGGACTTTACTACAATATTTACTTATTATCGCTGTACAATTGCGCCTACCGGACCCGTGATGATTTGTTACGGGCTGGCTCCCCTGACAAATAGTATGGTGAAGGAATAAACCCAGATGTACACCTTTCCTGATTTTAAACCACGCAGTATTCCTTGCTCTGTTTCCACAACTGCTTCTAGATGCATGTGCAAGTTCTGCATGAGCACCATGTAGTGCTCCGGGATTCCCATTCTTCTCACGGCTATCCATATTTTCTTATAGTCAACACAGTAAAATGTTTTAGCATAGTTAATAAAACACAAGTAAACATCTTTCTGGTGTTCGCGGCTTTCAGCCAAAATCCATCTGACATCAGTAATGATACCTCTTTTTCCACATCCTCTTTTGAATATGGCTCAAACCACTGCCAGTATTCTGTTGAGTCACCTTCCTTTGGGATGGGTACTCTTCCAGTCAATTGGCCATGTGGTAGTCTTCCAAATATCCTGGCATAAATCAGTACGTGCTTCCAGTGTTTCATCTCCACATGGCTGCTCCAGCACCCAGGGCTGCATCAGGGTAGGACCACGGGGCTTCTCCTTGGGGATGTCTTGCAGGAAGTGAACCTTGCCAGCTGAAGCAGGGAACTGGCTAAGGCAGCTGCACCCTGGTCCGACCATCAGAAAGCAAGAGACCCAAGAACTAGAAAGGAGAAGCTCACCAAGCCATTTTATCCCTCTGCCCTTCAATTAACCCGTGTTTAACGGCCAGGTTGGCACAATAAACTAACTACCTCAACCTCTCTAAATACCCTTTGCCTCCTAGTCCTTTCCTGTATTTCCTTTTATTTTCCTCTTGTTCCACTATCATGTTCAGCCTTCATTTGGGTTTCAGTAAATCCTCCCAGTTACATCGCCCTTGGTCAGTCCCTACCAGGCCTCCTATACCCTCCTTGCCATCAATTTTGGATCACTTGCTGTTCACTTGTCCCTAGGTTTGTTAATACCCACTTTTCCTTTCCCCGCCTCCCCCCTCCCATGTCCCCAACCCTGGAACAGTCAGTCCAGTTGTTGTCTCCTCCAAATTGTTTATCCCGCCTGTCTTATCTAGATAGACCTGCAGAGATAATAATATGCACAAAAAACCAGACAGAGCAAAACAAAGCAATCAAAGAAAACAGAACCAACGACCTACAAAAGAAAAACCTGTAAATAGTTCAAGGTCTGTTTGTTGACCTTTAGGAGTGTTTTCCAGTTGAGTCTGATGGGGTGCAATGCCCTGGCCCCAAAGTCTATTCTTCATCTTCCCTGGGGACTTCGTTGTTCTGTTCCCGTTGTTCTGTTGCACACCCTTAGTGTTTTGCCTCAGTGTGGTGGGGTCGGATCAGGCGCAATTCCCACACTGTCTCCAGTGTTGTCCCCCGTAGCGCTATAGGTCAGTGAGGGACATTGTGTCTTGTAGTGGGGCCTGCCCTATAGACCTCTCTGCGCTTGTTTTCTAACTTTAGGTATTTCCACATTTTATTATGATATTTGACTTTGTCTTCTCAAGCTGCCCTTTCAGCTCTTTGACTTTATCATGTCTTCCAGTTTCCTGAACTACTTTATAATCAAGAGCAAGTTTCTCGATCTCTTTTGACATTCACTTTGATCTTTTCACTTCATCCTGTCTTTTAAATGACCTTTTGCTTTCATCATATATCATGTTCCTGATGTCCTCCCACAGCTCACCAGGTCTTCTGTCATTAGTGTTCAATACATCAAGTCTATTTTGGAGAGGGCCTTGAAATTCAAATGGGATAAACTCAAGGTCATATTCTGGATCTGGTGGACTTGTTTTAATTTTCTTCAGCTTCAACCTGAACTTACACATGAGCAATGTTTTTATAGGAGAAATTGATTATCTGTTCCATAGTCAATCCTTGGCCTCACTTTAACTTCTTATATTGAGCCTCTCCATTGTCTCTTCCACCAGATGTAGTCAATTTGATTTCTATATATTTCATCTGGAGAAATCCTTTCGTGTTGTTGAAAAAAGGTATCTGCTATGATAAAAGGTCTTGCAAAATTCTATCATGCAATATCTGGCTACATTTCTATCACCAAGGCTCTATTTTCCAACTCCAGTTCCTATCTCTTTGTTTCCAACATTTTGTATTTCAATCACTAATAATGATCAATGCATTTTAACAGCATGTTTGATTAATTTCCAACTGAAGTCGTTGATGGAATTCTTCCATTTCTTCCTCACTAGCTTTTGTGATTGGTGCATAAATTTGAATAATAATTGTATTGATTGGATTTGCTTGAATCACATATACATAATTCTATCATGGACAGTATTATACTTCAAGATATATCTGGAGCTTTTTTTTTGGATGATGAATGTAACATCATTGCTCTCTATTGTTTCATTCCCAATGGCCAACACCGGTCCATTTCAGCGTACTAACGCCTAGAACCTTGATTTTTGTGTGTTCCTTTTCATTTTTCACAACTTCAAATTACCCTATACTTAAATACTTTGGTACATTCTGTGTTCTGATTATGAATTAATGTCAGTAGTTGTTTCTTCTCATTTGATCATGCCCCCAAAGCAAATAACGGTCTGGACGACTTCACTTCCACAGGCTTTACTCCCTCCGTGTAACCACGGTCAGCTCTGCTTTTAGAAAGCAGCTTTTCCAGCCATATTTTAAGTGCCTTTCCAACCAGACGGGCTCACCTCTGGCACTATCTCTGACAAGGCTCTGCCTCTTTTCGTGATGTTTTCAGTATCTGACACCGTTTCAATTCTGTCCGTGAGGTTAACGTGGCTAATCCCTTAGAAGTAGGCAGCCCATTCCTTCTTGGTAGTCTCTTCTTAGTCTGGAAAATCTGTTTGAAATCTTTGGGCCACGTTGGGTGACCCTGCTGGCATGTGAAATACTGGTGACATAGCTTCTGGCATCAGCAGCATGTAAGCCAGCACAGTATGATCAACTGACAGACGAGGGCTTCTTAATGTAAAAAACAGTAATAATCAGTGATCTTTCTGGAGTATGTCAATTGACTAATTACGATTATAGAACTGTTAACAAATATCAATGTCAACATACACGAAATTCCATGGACTGCAAGTTAATAGGTCTTTTGAAAATATATTTCTCTATTTCTCAATCACACAAACAAAAATGAAACTTAAAAGGAAACAAAAGTTCATCCTAAAAGACCACGTTGTTAGAAATGCTGTTTCACAATATAACAAAATGGAAGCATGTGTGTCCCTCAACTACAGAAATTCATCAAATGAGTAGTTTAAAGTAGTACTCCTTTCCCCAAATCTACCTACATACACAGAAATTGCATTCAAGGGAGGATGAAGCCGCTGCTTGATCAAAACATTATTCTAATAGGTGCTCATAAAACATCTGTAAATGGAGCAAATGTTTTGATAAAAATAGACAGCACAATACCGGGAATGGAACTGAAGATAAACGGACATCACAGCCCCACTGCATGCAGGAGGAGAAATATAAACACAGAGAAATCACTCACATCCTTGTCTCCAAGGGTCTCCAGGAGCAGGAGCAGGATGGTCTTGAAATGCTCTTCCCAGACGCCGAGGTTGTCCTCCCGGGTGATCTTCAGCAGTTCCAGCAGCGCTCCTTTACGCTCCTCCACGCGCTCGTTGTGGTTGGACAGCTCTTTCAGAAGGTCTGCCACCAGGTCAGAATGGTCAATGGGTACTTGTGGGAACAAATAATAGAGGCTTTAGTTCCTTAGAACAGTCCTTGTTGCACGCAATCCCTCGCGGCATTTGAAATCTTCTCACCTACCTGTACATTCTGTAGAGGAGTTCTCTCCTGTGGCATTCTCATATGCCCCTCATTCGGCTTCGTGGATAAGCCCCACTATTCCCCCCCTTATCAGGTCACCTCTACAGATCGTGGACCGGAGGTGTGATACCAGATGGCACTTACTGACATTCAATGCTTTCACCCTCTCTCAGACAAAGAGGACAACATGTGCATCTCCTCCAAAAGGTCACCCTCGTTTATTCTCTCTCGCCAACCTCTCCCTCTCCTCTTCCCCACCCATGACAGTCCCATGTCAGGCTGGGGCTGCTGGAACACGCTCTGACAGTGCGCAGTCCCACACAAGTCCACTGTGCTCGTGGGCCTCCTCACCATCACTATCCATGTTCGTGACTGCTTGGTTAATATTCCTTCACCCCCTTTTCTAGTGTCCAGAGCTTAGTAGCCAGCATAGTAAACAAACACCAATCAAGGGGTCTGGACAAAAACCCCAGCAAACTGGAAGATAAGCGAACGCCATAGCCCCACTGCGTGGAGGAAAAATACAAACACAAGGAAAGCGCTTCACATCCGAATTCTGGCCACCAGGCTTTTCTCAAATCTAACTGCCGCAGAAACGATCACAGTTGACTCTTGAATTCTAATGGCGGAAGTAGAAATAAGATATGCCTGAAAAATGACATGCTCCTCCAACTTAACCTTTCCCTCAGGAGAGTGAAATCATCCATCTTTTTGCCAAAGAAGCCAGGAGGTACTGGAGGTAAGCCACTAGGTCTGATTGCCTCCGAGTCATTCGTAAGCCATGCACTTCATGACACACAGTAGGCACTCACTGAACGTTAACTGTTTGGGGTGTTTAGGATTCTGATTTAGTATTTCATTTAAAATTGAAAGAAAAAAAAATCCTAGGCAGCCTTGGAAACAAGAGAGACAAACAATTATGTCAATTATATTTGAAAAAACTATCGCTGTCAGGTTAAAATAAGCCAAAAGCTGTGAACAGGACAGTGAGGAGAGAAGAAAAACAAGTGCCATACCAAACCCCGTCTCACTGGTGGCACAAGAATGAACACTGGCCGTCATAAATCATCAGAAAATACGAAGACCAGTTTACCGGTTCTGTCTCATACCAGTTTTGTTTGGGCAAGTAACTTTAAACTTCCAGAACTCCTGTTTCTTACGGTGTAAAATGGGAATGATTTCTTCCATTGCAATTAAGTTATAAAGGGAAACCTGTTAGAAGTCTATAAGACTGTCTCCCAAGTTTGGCAGGGTGTAGTCTTACGCTTTTCCATCAGAGGGAACTATTTACATTTTCCTACTCTGACAGACTTCTTTCTTACACAGGTTTGGCTTTCACAGGTTTGCTGGATATGTAAAACACTTAGTTCAGCACCTGTTAATAAAAAGAAAGAGAGAAAAAAAAACACCTACAAAAATTCAAACGCACTGTCAAGTCCATTCCAATGGGGAGAAAGCCTCTTTAGGATTTCACGGCAGTAAATCTTCACCGGAGCCACTAACTCTCCTCACTCACGGCCATCAAGTTGACGCCAACTCTTAGCAGCCCCACTGTTGGTTTCTGCGACTGAACCTGTTTACAGGAGTAGAAAGCCCATCGTTCTCTCTAGGAGTGGCTGGTGGTTTCAAACTGCCGACCATGCGGACCACAGCCCAAAGTGTAATCACTAAACCACCAGCAGCAAAGAGTCTCTTCTTTCTCCCTCAAAATGACTGGTGAGTTCAATGCTTACTCCATAGTGCTACCCTTGAATGTCAAGGACAATGTCGAAGCCCACAGAGAGCTGCCCCAGAAAAGCCTGGTTAAAACCCTGCTGTGAGCAAAGAGGAAAATCGGTCAAGTAGTGCTTTAGGACCTCCGTTCCAAGACTCGGGACAGACCAGAGATCTGTAGGACAAAGTGGAGCCCATGCCCACTTTGTTGCCCTCCACTGCTGCTGCTGCCTCTGCCCTCTCCCCAGCCCTCCACTCAGACCTGCCTCCAGCTTAGACTCCTTGAGCCTTCCCCACCTGCAGTCAGTCGTCCCCATGCTCACAGTTGCCACGCCTGCAAAGTTACACGGCCCAGATGAACATTTCATGGCCGTCTTCCTTCCTAGATGCTGGGTCTTTTTGTTTGTGTGGAGGAAACACAATTAGAGCTCAACAAGGAACCGTGACACAAAAGCCGAACCAGGACAGGGATTTCTGAATGAAGACAATCAAGCAGAGAAAGACCCACCATCTCGCAACTGCTCCATGTCGTCGTCAAACACGGCCTCCTTCAGGGCTGTCTTGTCGTAGGTGTTGATGGTGTCCGAGTAAGGGTAGGGATTGTACTCTCGCACTCGCGGTCCAGGGAAGGCCCTGGGAGGCTGGGTGTTGAGGAGGGAGGTCTTGTTGTCCAGTGCAGTCCGGCTGCCCTCCACTACCTCACTGCCTCCTCGGCCTTCAGTGGCTGGGGAAGAAACTCCCCCCTCTCGTGAAACCTGGAATAGATTAAACTGTCAGTTCCTTTCCAGCGCTTTACACAAACTTTCCCTTTTATCTTCAGGCTTGGTCTTTTACTGGTCTTTACTGGTATTTTAATTTGTATATAGCAAATTCATACACTATTATCAAGCAAGCTGAATATGCCCACATTTTCATTGACTTCTTCATTAGCTTACATGTAAACTCAGTTTTAATTGAATTTGATCATGAATTTTACTCATACATTTTGGGGGACCTTGGTAGAGTAGTGGTTACACGTTGTGCTGCAATCCACCAGGTCAGCAGTTCAAAACCACCACCAGCTCTTTGGGAGTAAGACTGCATTTTCTAACGCAGGACCAATAATGAGAGGAGTGATACCAGGAGGGTAAGGGGAAGGTGGGAGAAAAAGGGGAACCTATCACAATGATCTACATACAATCCCCTCCCAGGGGGACGGACAACAGAAAAGTAGGTAAAGGGAGACATCGGTCAGTGTAAGACATGAAAAAATAATAATTTATAAATTGTCAAGGGTTCATGAGGGAGAGAGGGAAAAATGAGGAGCCGATACCAATGGCAACAAATGTACAAGTGTGCTTGACACAATGGATGGATGTAAGGATTGTAATAAGAGCTGTATGAGCCCCCAGTAAAATGATTAAAAAAAAAAAAAAGACCAGGATTTCTACTCCTGTAAACATTAGTCTTAGAAACTCTGAGGGGCAGTTCTACCCTCTCCTATGAGTCACTATGAGTCAGGCATGACTCCACGGCACTGAGGTTGATTTGGGGGAGGGAACAGTGATACATTTTATTCTCCAAGGTTCTGGATCAAATTCTGAGACAGACCTTGAAAGCTAAGGCTGTACCCTTTGTGCCCCAATTCTTCAAGACTGTCATGTGCCAGCCTGTCAATGTCACTATACATAGTAAGAACTCTCAGTGTAGTGAGCTGACAGAACAAGAATGCGAAAATTTCCCTACACTGGCTTCAGAAATTTAAAGCAGTTCCCACATTGATGAATTCTTTTTGTTCTTTCTGTGTTTCCTCACCAGTGGTGAGCTAGAACAGTGGTGAGCTAGTTCCTTCTAAGCAGTTCACTCTCCTTTCAAATATATTTTACTCTTACTGCTCTTCTTGATACGCTTTCAAAACCCATCTCCTTTGATCGATGCCTGTCAAATCCCTAAAGGACGGGCATTTAGCATCTTCCAGAGTCTTACTTCTAGTGCTTTCTGACCCTTGTCTCCCACAGATCAAAGCCTTGGTCCTCTGCCTGCCCAAGATTCTGCTCCCTTGGGTCTCAAAGACCCTTTATTTTTCTTGAAGAGTCCCTGCCGCGTTCATTTTGAAGGCCAGCACCATCACAGAGCAAGTCTCAGGTGGCTGCAGAGGGCTGAGCAGCCCTGTAGCCCTCTTCATCACATATGCGTGGACATATTAGCAGTGCTGGGGAAATGTCCGGGCAGCCAGGCCACCGGGGTGATCCCCGTGGCAAAATTTTCACAGACATATACACATACATATTATGTATATGTAGAGAACTTTGAATTGAGTGGGAAGGTGCATTTTGTTTTTAACACCCTCCCAAAATATAAGACGTTAGTTTCAGGTATAAAAAGAAAAACAGTAGTTTTCTCTTGGTAAAAGATAACTCATAGGTGATTTCCATTTTTCCTTTCTGTAACTGTCTCCTAAAAGTAAAACATAAAATAGGACACATTACTCTCCAAAAACGTGATAAGAATGTCTCTAAAGTGAACCAGACATGTATAAACCATAGATATATGAATGGATTTGATCCCTCACACTTATTCAAAACCGTGATCTAAGAACAATTATGACACTCAGTCTCCTAACAAGATCACTGAAGATGTGGGTGTTGATGTGGTGCAGAGAGCAGACAGATGGTGACCAGCCCTCAGTGTCTGAGGCCTCTAAGTGACGCATCAATGCAGCCCCACACGAGAGACGCACACCAGGACTGTACCGCAAGGAGTGTACATAATAACAGTGTCCCAATCTGGAAGAGGGACCCAGATGGAGCTTAAACTGTGAAGACGGTTTTGCAGAGGTTTTGGAAGACAGCTGACAGCCCAGCTCCATTTGTTGGGCTCCCTCATGGATGAAGCCTTCAGGGAACCCACCATAGTTCAGAAACGTGAATGGCCTTGCCATCAGAAAGAGAGCTCCCTCAGTTCATTATGACAGATGTCGTTAGGTTAAAATGTAAAACCTTATCATTTGATCTCCCCTTGCACCCATTTTAAATTTGTTTCCCTCAAAAACCTAATTCACTGTCATTGAGTTGATCCCAACCCATGGGAATCCTAGTGGTGGAGCGGTCCTCTCCACAAAATCCGTTTGAAGCCCCACGCTGCTCCTTAGGAAGAGGATGAGATGCTCTTCTCCCATAGAGAGTCAGGCTCAGAACCCCACGGGCGCAGTTCGACCCTGGCCTAGGGGGTCGTCGTTAGTTGGAAATTTGTTCCAGTTTTTAATATTTTCTGCTTTCCTTTTGATTGAAGTTTCCCCCTATTTTATCTTGTCACTATCATTGTTTTTGCTTGTTTGTTGTTTTTCTGTATATGACATACAGGACAGGTAGATCCATAGAAGCTGTGACTGGATTAAGAACAGCCTAGGGTCCTGGCATGGAAGGTTGGGAGAACTGGGGTGTTATCAACAATGACTACAAGGAAGAAAGCAATGTTCTAAAACTGATTTTGGTGATGACTGTGTAACTCGTCTTAATATGACTGGACTACTGAATTGTATGATATGTCAATAAAACTATTTTAAAAATAGAAAATATAATTTATAATACACCAAGCATTGAAAAAAACTCCAGATATGTACCCAAAAAAGGGGGAGGAGAGGGGGCTAACTCATTCTTATTCACCTTTACTACTACCACCACCACCAAAACTTCCTCTTTTACTTTGTACATTACCTCAAGTCTTTGTATGCATCTAGATTATAGGGGGGGGGGGGAATCACAGTTTACGAGGTATCTTATATATTGTTTTGCTCACAGCGTAAGCATTCCCGATGCAACTAAAGTTTTTGAAACCATGTTTAACCTCACCACTATTGCTACCTTCTGTTTATTTTGAATATTTTAGATAATGCTGAAATAAACTATTTATGATTATTTTTTTCTTTTTGCTCATTTAGTCACCATAGATTGCTGGAAATTAAAATATTAGGTAAAGGATAAAAAATGCTTATAATCACTTGTGCTAAAATATAATTTTACTGCTTTCTAATGTAGCGACATCAATCTCTCCTGCACCAAGATTATACTAACCTCCATACCTTCTCAGCATTAAATACTATAATGTCTACTTAAAACACAGCAGAACAATGTAGAAAATGGAACCTTGAATATGCAGGAGAACTTCAAAATATTGATAGAAATATTCCATTATCTTTCAATTCCAGTTTTCCATGAACTTTCTGAAGTTCCCTCACATACTCATTGTATTTCTATAGTTAGTCACAAGAATGGACTTTTTCCTACACATTTGATGCTCAGGGTTCTACTTTTGTGAATAATCATCTTCCTGGATCAAAAATTCATCCTTACGACCTCTGCCTTATTAGACTGAGCTTAATCTACAAACTTAAAAAGAAATATACTGGCTCTGGTATCTGTCACATTTATTATATTTCACATCTTCCTTCACCTAATATTGAAAAATTTGGTAAGTGGCTGAGGTGTTGAAATTGAACAAACTCAGCTTCTCAATCTTCATGTCTGACCAGTGTCGTCCACTTCTCCAGACCACGTCCTCTAGCAGCACCAGGTCCAGTCTCAAACATCCTATTTCCATGGACCAGTCCCGACTCCCACCTTCTTTCTATTCTTGCAACCACTCTCACAAGGGCTCCCTGCTGGTCTGCCTGTCCTGTGGTCCCTCTTTTGCTCCCATTGCTTTCTCCTTATCAAACTTCATTCCTTTCAACCTTCAGCACAGGTTTTTCTGATTTCGAAAGCTGAAACATACTTATGTGTTAAAAAATAGGGCACCAAGTAATTTCTATAACTATCTGATGAACTATCACATCAAAAGCTAAAACCAACTTACCATGGAGCCAATTCTGACTCACATCAACCCTCTAAAACATAGAACTGCTTCCTACGGTTTGAGGCTATAAATATTTATGGCACGAGATAGCTTCATCTTTCTCCTGAACATTATCACACAAGCATGAAAAATAATCAAGTAGAATAATACTGACGGGGAAAGTATCCACGTCTTATGCTAAACAAGGTGCACATAATGCTGTCACTATTATTACAAACACATCACCGCCACCCCAAGCATAGATAGATAGATAGATAGATAGATAGATAGATAGATAGACAGACAGACAGACAGATAGAAAGTCAGACCGACTGCTGTCAACTCAATTTTGACTCAGCGTGACCCCGTAGAATGGACTCAGTGACCCCGCAGAACGGGGCAGAACTGCGACAAAGGGTCTTCACAGAAGCAGGCTGCCATAGCTTTCTCCCAAGGAGGGGCTGTATCCAAACCACCAATCTTTAGGTGATGTCTGGTTCAGGCATACAACACCACATCATTAAAAAAGTAAGCCAAGAAAGAAAGCATTCAACGCTCCTCACAAAATATCTCAGGGTCCTGTTTTCAAAATTATGAAAGATTGCCTTGGGCCTCTTAAACATACCATATTTTTGTGTATAACACACGCATATAAATTTTATGCACTTGCAAACACCACACATAAACAGTTCAGGGTGATATGAGCTGGAGAAAGCCGTATATTGTGTGTATTATTTGTGTACAAATACAGTAATACTATTCTAACCACAGGATAAAAATAATGGAGCTCTGTAGGCAGTGGTCACAGAAGCCGCCCTTTAAGGATCTATAATGTCAGTGAACTGATTTATAGTTATCTGTTAGCCTGGGGATACTTACAATATCACAGTCTTTTTTTCCATCTCGTTTAACTGGCTCATTCAAATCTTCTTGGCTTCTGAAACTAAATTTTTCAATGGCTTCTGTAACTCCACGTAAAGAACTGTAGATTTCTTCAGAGTTCAGGTTCTCTGTGTCATAGTCCAGCATGCTAAAGATAAACAATATATTTCTTAAATTTAAATATGGGCATAATTTACATCTAATGATGTACAGGGTAAGATAAATGCACAGTTTTATTTCTTTACATGATTTGGAACAAAAAAGAGACTTTTTTTTGTTAGTGTACTACCATTAGGCAATTATAGAATTTCCTTTGAAATCTGGTCCTAAACATATGCATCATCTGCCAATAAGCAACCAGTGGGAAACAGCAATGGCCACAAGGATGCAAGAACTCAGGAGTGACAATTAGTGACTGAATGCACGAGGTAATGAAAGTGTAAAAACAAACAAACAAAACCTTTCATATCTTGAAGATGGGTTAGTTGTTACTGGTCCCAAATGTACAAGCTTAAGAGAAATGGGCGTTTCAAAATAAAGCTAGTATTACAAAGGAGTTGGAGAGGAACAAAGCCCCCACAGACTAAATTAGTTAGCAATGCTATGCTGACCAGTGACAGAGTTCATAAAAGACAACGCTTGACTCGGTAAGATTTATCCTACCATTGGGTTCCCAACTTTAGGCCATTCAACAAAGGCAGGAGAACTTGGTTCTGGAAAGATGTTTGAAAACATTTCAAAAGCAAAACTACCAATCAAAGAAAAGTTATGTCCATCACTGTCCTTTCATAAGTTTGGCAAAACAAGACATAAAATGAAGCCCAAATCCTAAGTCTTTTGGTTTAGCCCATCTGTCAAGGGGCCCCGAGCTCGGTACCTGAGACGTGCACCGAAGCAGATGACCTAGAGAATGAAACAACTATTGGTGACCCTGCAGGACAACATAGAGGAAAAACACGAGAAGAACAGTACAAACTAGGCACAACCTGAGTCAACAATCAGCCAAGGCTGGGCGAGGAAACATCCTTCAGCTTTGAGTGTCAAGTGTTTAAATAAATCAGAAAGTCACAAGCTCTAACTGGGGACTGCTAGGTATAAGAATATTTAACTATAAATAATATAAACTACAACATTACTGGGATCCAAAAGCCAACAGTTTCTCTGTGTACCAAAAGAGAAAATGCTGACAAACCTAGGTTCCCCCGACAGGAGCTCCTCTCCTAAAGGCAATACAATCAAGCCCTGGAGGAACCCTGTCCTTAAAAACACCGAGGGTTTGATTTCAGACTACAGCACCCACGTATCGTAATGAAGTGTGGCACACACAATTTGTTTGTTTCCCAGTGCACATAAGAAACTATGTTTGTCATACAGTATAGTCTGTTAGTATTATTAAAAAATATTAGGAGACTTACCAAAATGTGACAGAGACAAGAAGTGCACACAGTGCTAGAAAATGGCACCTCTAGACTGGTTCATGCACAGTTGCCACAAACCTTCAATTTGTTAAAACACAAACAAAACAAGAAACTCAAGACAGAACACGTGTGACGTGTGCCTGTAACACCTACTTCCTCGTCCCTTGCTTTGCAAGATCCAGATAGAACAGCAAGACAGAGTTAGACAGGCCTTGTGATACAGCTTGAGGTTGCAATGACCCAGCTATTTTTGAAGGCATGTTAGGTTGTGCCAGGGCCGTTGAGCTGAACTCTCTCACAGAAGAAAGCTATTTGCCAAAATTTCAAAACTGGTCCAGGTAGAACCCAGTTCTCTAGCCCAACTGTATTTGGAGAGCTCACAAAAATACATCCCAATTCAAAGACTAGCCTGGCATCAAATGAAATGTGAACCTGGACCATGTTTATAGTCAAAATTCCACATACATAATGATAGGAGGTGAACCAAAACATCTCAACACAAATCAAGCTCGCAATCTCCTTGGAGTTCTCAGGGTTGTCTACCTCTGAGTCAATCCGGAGGCAATATCCCTTTAATGTGAAGAAAGTGTGACTCAATCGCCAGCGTCCCTGCCCTTCTCAGGAAGCACTACAATACTAGCTTTATGTACGAACAAAGGCATTTATACATCTGGCCAGTACACTATTTTTTATGTATAAAACTGAACATGGTGAAAACCACATATGTTAATACTTTAAAATGCTTCAAATCACAACAACGAAAATAACAGTTGCCCATGCAAAAACAACAAATGAAAACCAACAAATTGCAAGAATGATGGGATGGACAAAAAGAAGTCTGGCTGTATGCTCAGCGTTTGAAGGGCTGTCACAATATTATTTTCCATATGTCGCTTCAGAAAATGTTAGTGTTCAGATCATTCATCTGGTTATTAACCTGAACATTCTGAAAACAGTTCATTTTGGCTTGTAAAAGTTAACCATTATAGGAGCCTCTTTTTAAAACGAAAGGATTCTGCCTGTTACTGTTACTTTCCATGTATAAATCAACTAACTTCCAATTTAGGAATCCTATGTGCACAACCAAGTACCGTCTAGGAGGATACTGCTGTTAGACTCACTAGCTTGAGGTCTTTAGTATTTTTTTGGCAGAGCTGAAACTGTGAGCAGCTGGTGAGAGGTATAGCTGTCTCCCTCTAGGAGGAAATAAACAATGTTACTCTTATGTTTTGGCCTGACTTGTATTTTGTTCGAATCAATATCCGTAGAACCCACATTGTATAGGGAGAAGCGGAAATGTATACTAATGCTGTCAGTTAACATCATCCTGACAAGTAATGCAAAAGAACTGGCAGAGGGACTCGGTGGCTTTACTTAGCAGAGAGACTCGGTGGCTTTACTTAGCAGAGAGAGGGTCAGACAAGCCCTAAGCATTCATCTGCCCCCTAGTCAGAGACAACCGAGGACACACTCTCCTGGGCTAGAGTCTGGTCACTGGTAGAGACTGATTCCAGCAGGGATTCCTTAGGGCTCGTTAGCTTAGGAGGAGCTAATCAGCAAATACTCGCTAACTGAAGCTAAGGTCATGTCAAAAGCTCTCCTGGCCAGGTAATGGCCCTGCACTACGGGTACAGAGGTATGTGGGGCTGGGTCTCAGAGAAAGAGAAATCTGAGCAGGGATGTGCCTTCCGAGGTTCTTCTTTGCCTTCCAGTAGGGAAACGATACAAAGTATAAAACCAGCATTTCTGATTCTGAAGTCAACAGCATTTTGGCATAATAAAAAGAGACAGACACGGATATGTTCTTCTTAGTTTTATGCAACTAATAGTTTTTATAAATTAAAAAATATGAGGGGGCTTAAAGAGGTTAATGGAAAAATGAAATTCAGAGATAACTGATTTTTTTCCCCACAAACCTTTTGAAACCCCCTGGCATTTACTTGATTCTGTATATTAAGCATGATTAGATGAGTTAGCTCAACCAATACAAATGGGAACAGATTTGAAAGGTGAGAATTAGAAACGGTGTCCTCTGGAAGGTGATTCTTGATTTTGTGGGAAGACTGGCTGGGCTGAGCTTAGTATCCCTAAGAGCATACAAGTCAACATACTAGGAGACAGCAAAATTGAGTTTCTATTCTGAAGCACCACTACAGTTCAAAACAAAACAAAAGGTACATGATTTATTAGCTTTAAAGACAGCAGACTTGTTTATTTGTCCTAATACTATTATCTGTAGAAATCTACATTCTAGAATTTTCTGTACAACTTTCAGTGCTGGAATAGCTTCAAAAGAAAGATATTTCTAACAATTTAGCTGATTTGTTTACCAGATATGGTTTTGCTATGTTGAAGATACCAAAGAGTTAGAATGTAAATCTCCTATGCACAAGTTATCTAATGAAGCATTTTAAGTCACGCGCTATGTTTACCATGTCCTGTCAGCATGCATGCTCACCTTACTAAGCACAGTGACAGTGCAACTGCCAGGTTCTGCTCATGTAAGCACGCATGTGTGGGCCTTGAACCTCCAGCAAAAGCACCCGCTGGGCTCTCAAACAGGTATCTGTTTGGGTATCTTCAAGGATCCCTCTTTGCACCAAAGATATACCATCTGTCTAAAGAGCTGAAGGGAGGCCCACCAGCCCCTCCTGCCAGACAGAATCCCTAGTTTAATCATATTTAACCAGCGGCCACGAGCGTCACCTAGCACCTTGAAGGTTAATTGCAAAGAAACTCACAGCTTTGCTGACAAAAGGCTGGGCACTTTTAGAGAGTTGCAGCAAGGAACACAACTCTCGAGAGTTTTCTCTCTGGATCCATGCTGCCACACATGATAAAAGAAGTCAGCCCACATGCCACATACCCAACTGCAGGACGAATCACCTCGTGTGCAGACTCGCAGAGAGTATGTTTCACTTGTTTTCGAGTGGTTGTGGGAATGCCTTATGCACCTAACAGGAAGGCTCGGTAAGTGGTGCCCACGGTGACGGGCGTGGATCTTACAAGTCAACCAGCACTTACGTGTTTTCTACGCAACTGCTAAGGGTTAAGCAATAAACTGGGCTGAGAGGGCTGAGGTGAGGCTGTTCTGATCAGCTGATGAAATGACCACCTGCTGCTCTGCTATGGTAGGAGCCATCCTTGTGAAATTCACTAAAGCGCTGCTCACTTTCCCAGCAAAGTTCTGTTCCTTCTGGTGTAAGCCAAAGTCGGGGTCACAACAGTGGAGGCAGCTGAGAGGCTTTTCAAAAGACCTGAGACGACCTTGGAAATTCAATAATATTGTGACACCTCAGACAACTGTAACATGTTACCTGGGCGAGTAAGAGCGTCTGAGAGTCTTGTGGGAGGGAGCGGTGGGGATTGAGTTAGGCTGAGAAAAGGGAGGTGGGTGCTTCGATAACCCGTCGGCACTCCAGCCCCATAACCGACTGCAGTGATCAGAAGAGGAAAGTCAGAAAGAGAAACAAAAAGGCAGAAGGGGAGGGGCAAGAGGGAAAAGAGACGGGAGTCCAGTGTCTTAGCGGCAGCTCTTTTCTTGAGAAAGTAATCGGTTCTATCAAAGTAATCAGAGTAAAAGTAACCATTTCACAACATGAAGAAAATGAACAGATTTCATTTTACAATTTGGTCCTCAATAAGACTCCTATTCTTTCCCCTCTCAGGCATAGGATGCATTCATTTTAAAACCTCATGAAATTGCCTGTGCGTATGTCTGTGTGTGTTTGGGGAAATACATGATATGCACTGACACACATGAAAACAAGGACATTGTTTCAAAAACACCCCATCAATTACTTTAGAAAGAACTCAAGAAGGAATTATGAGGCCTTAATTCAAGTGACCACAGGAGGTCGTACCAGAGCAGAGGAGTCAGAAAATGTACTATTCTGTCTGGAGCACTCAAGGTCAGGGCCATGGGCTCTGCCCTTCAGAGGTGGACATGGTGGTTTCCTTCTAAAGGAACAATTAGAGAACGAGGACAGTAAGTCTTAGCTGGTAGGGCAGTGTGAGAGCACAATACTAAATTCCTCTGCTCTGATCAGCCATCTAGTATGAGAATTAAAATGAAGTGGAGAATGTGGGCATTCCTCCACCACAACTCAGAAATGCCACGAGGTGATCTGAGCTTGCAGTGGCCCGTGATAGGAAGTTCTAACAAGGGCTTGCAATGCAAAAGAACTGAGCCCCAGAGCCTGGGAAAGGGCGGGAGGAAGACCTGGCTGGAATCCGGAAGCTGAGTATGCAGCACCAGGAATAAGGTACCCACAGAACAGCTCTGCTTGCTGCTGGTATTTCTCACAGCTTAAGTGCCTAAGTCCCTTCATGGGGTAGGTAAGAAGTTAGTCTGTCGTAGGACAGTGAAGGCCTCCATTTTCTAAGGAAATTTGGTGTGGAAATGATAAGTCACTGAAGAACAGAAGGGCCTAAATCCCAAAGCAAACTCACTGCCACTGAGTCAGTTCTGACTCACATTGCTTGTCGTTGGGTGTCAAGTTGGCTCCAACCCCCACCTGTGCACCTGTGTCATCCTCACAGTGGTTTCTATGTCTGAGCCCATCGCTGTAGCCACAACGTCCACCCATCTCCTTAAGGGCTGCCTTCTCTTTCACTTCCCCTCTACTCAACCATGCATGAGGTCCTTCTCCAGCGACTGGTCCCCCTGACAACATGTCCAAAGTATGAAGACGAAGGACCTCTAAGGAGCACGCAGGCCAAACCTCTTCCAGGACAGGTGTATTCGCAGTGCCTGGCGCTCTCAATAGTCTTCTCCAGCACCCGATTCAAAGTCCGGCTAAGAGTGACCCTGTACGACAGGAGAACTGCCCAAGGGGGTTTCTCAGACTGTAACTCTTGACGGCACTAAAAGCTCCGTCTTTCTCCCTGGGAGCAGTCGGTGATTTCAAACTGCTGACTTTGCCTTGCAGTTAGGAACCCAATCTATAACCACCACCCCACAAGAGCCCCTCGTTAGCAGGCCCTAAGACCTTCTTTCAGTCGCACAAGGAGTTGGAGTGACAGCCCAAGGCGAAAACAGGTGACCGCTGCAGGCTGGCTCTCTACAAAGAACCGAGGACAAAGCAGAGGCTGTAGCACCTTCCACTCTGAGTGTGTGGTTCCTGTTGGTCCTAGAATGAACGAAACGTAAAACCCACCTACAACGACTCTGCTTGCTAGGGGACCCAGAGATGATCTATCCAGTGGCATTCTGCTTTATGATGTTTGTCAAAAACGTACAGTAGACCAGAGCAAGAGTTTCACAGAATCTTCTTAAAAAGGGAATGCATTTCCAAAGTTTTTTTTTAATTTTTCTGCTCTTGCTTTCCTTTTACCACAAAAATCACACTAGGTAAAATGAGTAAAAATTTACATCAATCTCTCTAAATTATTGGTTAATTAATTGGGAAAAAGCAGTGGTTATTCTCTTACACAGAAACAATTAATGTAGTATTTTACAAAAGCTGAACCTGTTATTCATAGCTTCTCTAAAATGGCTGGGTTGAGAAAAACAACTTTCTGAGTAGTGAAACTAAAAAATTATCAAATTAGATTTGTTCATCATTTTAGAATATGCCCTTATTACTGCCATATTCTAAATGTAGAATTTTGGGATTAAAAAATTCATTTTGATGCTCAACATTAGGTTAAAAACAAATAATAGGTGATCATTTCCCCACTTAAGAATAAAAAGCTAACATTATGAAGGAGCTCCAAAAGTTCATTAAACAATTCCATTATCTTTCATTTCTTTCTTTTTTTGGACAAACACAGCAACTCCATTAACAAAAATAACAAGTAAAACTCCAACAAGCAATTACTTATACCCAGAAAAACTGACAAGAAGAAATCTTATCTTAAATACCTTAGAATAATCTATCTGTGCTTGCATCTAACTGAGCTTTGTTGCTATGAAGAATGCGGCTTATGCATAGGGATGGATGGATGATTTGTATACTTTCAAGTACTCATGGATTAATACCATATATACACATATACATTGAGTTTAAAAATATTTAATTGGCAACCCCTAAGTAATCTTCACTTTTGTTGCTTTTTTGGAAGTGGTTCTGGCTCATGAATCATGTAACATACCCAGGCTACACTTTGTGGAACACCAAGTCTCCTCCACTCCTCTTCTGATGGGTCCTGGGAACTTGTCTGCAAAGTTCTCTGAGTAACATGACATACCAGTACTCATAAAGCTCATGGCAATATTTGTCTGAGTAGTACTTATTGCTCGTGGGCCGTCCTGCTGACAGCACAGCGGGACAGGTAGATAAGGAATGTATCAAGCAGGAACAGCAGCACAGACGTCCACATCATGCAATAGCAACCACACAACTCATTTCATGGTTCCACACTTTTTCAAGATCACCCAAATATGGTCAAGGTCATTCAAAAGAATGACACGATCAAAGAATATTAGTTTCAAGAGCACTGCTAAGAAAAATAGCTGAGAACATATCCTGTAGAACCTGCTTACCATCTCCTTAGAATGTGGTAAGCTAGCTGCTCTGTCTGTTTAAGGCAAGAATTTAAGGACAATTTTTCAGTCGCAAGAAAAATGATTTCTACTATTGAGTTCAAAATGGTTAAGATTCTTTGACTATGAGAATGAGAACAAAATTTGAAAAGGCACTATATAACTAAATAATTTCTTAAGGAAGAATACTTCTAAGTATTCTTGACCAGCACACTTCTAAGACTTTTTAATATAAAAAATAAAGTCCCTTTATTTCTTCTACTGACTAATAGGCCTAATAGTAAAAATTGAGGCGGAGCCAATTGAGAAGAAATAGTGACTTGGAAAAATAAATGAAAATTTGAATGATTTGGAGATTCATGAAGATTAATATCAAGCTGATTTTTACCTCTGACAGTTTATTCTAGTAGTCTTCACTAATCTTTAACACAGGCTATTAACATATATAATAATAAAATACTTAATTTGAGGTTTGCCTTTTGCTTATTACCTACAGAAAACTCCAACTAACAAAGAACAGCTATTTTGAAGAAAAATTGTTTCTAGACAAAGGCAATAATTTACAGAGAATATAAGTTGCTCATAATTTACCCTACTAGGAAAGAATGCATAATGATCTACTGTTAGCACTGGACCCTCATCGCTTAAGCCAAACAACTGTTGTTGTCAGGTCCTGTCAAACCAGATCAGACTCACAGGGAGCCTATACACAAGAGAATAAAACACAGCCCGGTCCCTGCCCCATCTTCACAATTGCTGATATGTCTGAGTGCAATGTTGCAGCCACTCTGTTAACCCATCACATCAATGGTCTTTCTCTGCCTCTACACTTCAGCAAGCGTGATCTCCTTCTCCAGAGCCTGGCCTCTCCTGATAATGACAAAAGCATGTAAGACAAAGTCTTGCCATTGTTGGTTCCAAGGAACCTTCTGGCTGTACTTCTTTCAAGACCGATTAGCTTATTATTTAAATTTAGAATTTGAAAGGATAAAAATAAAATTTGAAAGTCTACCAAGCTCCATTCTCAGGTTATCCTACAAGTATTTTGGAAATTATAAAATGGTGTATTTTCTTGGTGAAACAAAATATTTTACATATCTATTCCAAAACCTACTAAAAAACCATAAATATCTTATGTAGAGATATTGGTATTAAACAAGCAGTTGGCTGAGCCCCAGATGCATCTGGGGAAAGTAAGACATATTTTCATTCGTTTCTGGTCTCAATTGCCTAATTATAATAGCCTGTTAAAGTAATATAGGCCAAATGTAAAGCTATAACATCAAATTCTAGTATAAATAAATATAGTATAGGGCAATTGGGACTTCAAACACAGGTTAATATTAGTAGCAATGCACTTTACGTACTTACAGAAAGGATCCCTGGTGCTCAGCTGCTAATCAAAAGGCCAGTGGCTTAAAACTGTTGGGTCAGGTACCTTTCCAGGGACATTAGGAACAACCTGACCTGCCCTTAGCAGACCTAGATGGCTAGCTTCAAAAGGACTGTAGGACAATGAGCCATCTCCTAGGCTGGAATGATCAAGGCACCACCCTACCTCAGAATTTCATGGATGAAGACACTTCTACCCCCTGCCCCCTTCTTTACCCACCTGCAGCTTAAAAACTTGCTCTCCACCACAGGTAAGCTTGACTTACTTTACTGGGGTCCCCCCCCAGGGGGCCGTGCCTCTCGCCTGGAAGTGCAAAGGAAACTTCCCCTTTTCCTTCTCTCTGGCCTGGCCTTGTTTATCTTTGCGGGAAATCTAACAAAAACCCGTGGAAGAAAGAGGTGGCATTCCACTTCTGTACAGATTTACAACCATGAAAATCCCATGGGGCAGTTCTACTCTGTCCTAATGGTTGTAGGAACTGACTCCATGAAAGTGGGTTTTATTAGGTACGCTATGTAAAACACATCGTTTCACCAAGAAAATACACAAAGTTAACGTGTATCGTACTTTAAAAACCTAAATCTAAAAGTAATTCAGATTTTCTATCTTCCTACGAAGGAGGTAGCCCTAAATGAAAATTGGTGCACTTGCCATATTTTCTTCTCATTTTACAATCTGGAATGTGAGCAACCCATGGGACAAAAGCCCCTTGATTTTTGCTGTTATTGATCTAACAAGAAAAGAGCTGAACTTCTAGACAAACGGGGTGTGGTCCAAGCAGGTGCAGATGCCGGCTCTTTACTCACCGTTCTGGCCCTGCAGGGCTGAGGAATTCTGCTCTACTGGGGCTAGGCTAATCCCAGCATAGGGGAGAGGGTCACTAAAGCCACCACGTGGAGACTTCTATAAGCTCTGGCCAGTAGCATCACATAAGATCCCTACACATAGTGGTTGTTCTTAAGTTATTACACAGGTTCTGTAAGGTCAATGTTCATATGCTGCCAATGTTAATTCAAAAAAGGCTGATTCAAAATGACTTCTTCATTTCTAAATCTAAGTCCTTCAGAATGCATTCTGCTTCATAATGAGAGCAGCGGGGGTTGGAAAGACCACGTACTTGGCTCGAACACAAGCCCACACTTTGGAGAAGCGGACTCTAAAAGGTTTCCATGGAGGATGAAAAACCTTCATGTTCTCATGAATTTTGTTAATTCTATGTAAAGCAGTACGAAGTACAACTTTTCATTTTACAGCATACTTAATATCATAAGTACTAGAGAATATTTAGAGCTAGAAAAGCCTGAGAGGGCACTGTGTATACATTGCTCATTTGACCATCATGGTTGTTAGCCACTTTGTCCGAGACCACCCAATTAAGACCTGAGTGAGGACACAGCCATCGTGTCCAGAAACCCAACTCACGTGTTGGTTCTGAACCTGGCTCTGAGACCTAGAGTGGGCTGGGCTGACTGCAGAAGGCCTTGTGGTCTTCATCTCTTTCGACCAGACTTTACCTGGGAGACAGACCACCATGGGAACAGTTGGTGGGTGAGGTCAGGGGACTGGTCCGGCTGCTGGTGTGCCTGGAGGGTGTCCGGCCAATTGTATTGCTTGGAGAGCCCTGGGCAGAGGCAGAGTAATCACCATTATTTAGGCACTCTATGAAAGGACAGCTAATGGATTTCCCCCCCAAGCTTTTTGAAGTCCACTGATACAGTCAACACTTCTCTATGCTTTTTAACTCACATGCAAACAAATGGGTAGAATTTATACTACACAGTTAGAGGAACATCTAAACTACAAATGTGTAACTGCCACATAGGCATTCTGAGAGCTGAATGGTTGATGTTGATTATGCTAGAATGTCAGATATAATCAGGAATTATTATTAAAAATAAGATTAACTCAATAATGAATGAATAACTACTTAAACGACCTAACAAAAATTTAATGGATTAAACAACCTAAGCTAAGAAAAAGGCCATGTTTAAATACCAGGTTCATTCATTCACTCATAAAGTGCTTTTGAAATGGCCAGGGATACAGTGGGATCAGAATGACCCGGCCAGCCTTGGGGACAAGCTCATAATCTACTACATGAAGACAAGGACATGGGCTCTACCATTAGAATAGGTTCTTGAAAAAGATATGCAGCGGTCATTGTCTGAGCAGAGGCACCAACAGTGACCCAATGCACTCACCACACTGGTGTTACTAGAATTCTTGAGGTGGTTATGCAGCAGTTTGGTGGCACCATCCTGGAACGTTTTTGGCAAGGCACCAAGTAACATGGTAAATTCAGGAGTGTTCAATTCAAACAGAGAGATTAGCACAATCTGTGCTGCCTAGAAAGAGAAGGCATAATCAATTTATCCAATGAACAGTAACATATCTTGGGCAAAATTCCCACTAACATAGTTTTTAAAACCTTTTTGTGTAAATAAAATAAATTACTAATGAAAGGGCACCCTCCACATACATAGTCAGACTGATCTGAGAAATGAGCCGTAGGTTCATTGTAACATATTGGTCTTGGATTTCCACAGCATATTCCTGATACATTTTTATAACTTTTCCTGTGTGTCTGGCACCACAAAGGAAGTTGGCAAACAGGTAAATGAAATAATTTTAAAAGTGAGTTAGAACTGGACAAGGCTCCCGGTGTGGACCATGGCAAGAACTAACTTCTAAGTGAGATGCTGCTGGGCGATCTTGAGAAACTGCTGTCCCTTGGCTCTTCATCGGAATGCTCTAGTGGACATCCACTGACCTGCTCCGATGGGCTAAGACATGCCACTGAAAGACACAGTTCAAAGCAACTACTTTCTCATCTCTCAATCAAGGACTGAGGCAGCCTTTGGGAAGCCAATCAAACTTTGAATGGTGCCATTTAAAAACCTGCTCTTTCTTACGTGTTGAAAGTATCCCTTTCTTCTTACCCGAGACAACATGCCACAGAACTGCTTGCAGTCACTGTGGCAGGAAAGGAGGAACAACCACGTAGCTGAAGCAGTAATGGCTCGATGAGGTACAGACTTCTCTAGCAAGATGCTTGCTGTGGTTAATTTAGTAGCTGACAATTCACGCTTGGAAAACAATGCCAAATACTGTATTTATTTAGGAAGTTTGAGCAGTGAGTTTTTGTTGAATGAAAATTATAAAAGGTATCATTACATTCTTAAATCGTGTACTTTTAAGTTAAAGAAGCATGTGATCCTTTTTGTGCCAACATGGCTACCATAGGAACATGGGGCAGAGTTTAGCCTGGCATTCAGGCCACAGCTTGATTGAAAAGCTACCAAGACAAATGGCCTTTCAAGGATGGCCTCTTCCTCTTTCTCCCTGGACGTGGGCCACACTCTCCCTGCTTCACCTCCCTGGTGGCAACACTGGAGACACAGTGTGGGAATTGTAGCTGATCTGACGCCACCACACCGAAATAGAACAAGGGCATGAGCAGAAGAGCAAGAGGAGCAGAGCAAGGACGTCCCGGGGATGCCAAAATACACTGTGGGGCCAGGGTGTGGCACCCCCCAGATGGGACCAGAAAACACTCAAAGGTCAACAAACAGACCTTCAACTATTTATAGGCTTTTCTTTGTTTTTGTCGTTGGTTTTTGTTGTTTTGTTTTCTTTTGTTGCTTTGCTTTGCTCTGTATTGTTTTTGTGCATGTTATTATCTCTGTATGTCTATCTAGATAAGACAGGCGGGATAAACAATCCAGAGAAGAAAACAACTGAACTGAGGTTCTGGGGAGATACACAGGACAGGGGGAGGCAGGGGAAAGGAAGTGGGTGTTAATAAACCCAGGGACAAGGGAACAACAAGTGATCTAAAATCGATGATGAGGATGGTATAGGGGGCCTGGTAGGACTTGATCAAGGCCAATGTAGTCGAGAGGAATTACTGAGACCCAAATGAAGGCTGAACATGACAGTGGGACAAGAAGAAAGTAAAAGGAAATAAAGGAAAGAACTAGGAGTTAAAGGACATTTATAGAGGTCTAAATATAGGCATGTACATATGTAAATGTATTTATATATGATGGGGAAATAGATCTATGTACATATGTCTGTAGGTTTAGTTTTAAGGTAGCGGATGGACACTGAGCCTCTACTCAACTACTCCCCCAACACAGGAACACTTTGGTATTGTGATGCTCACCTTCCTGACACGATCACTGAAGACAAAATGGGTGCATAAGCAAATGTGGTGAAGAAAGCTGATGGTGGCCAGCTATTAAAAGATATAGTGTCTGGGGTCTTAAAGACTTGAAGATAAACAAGGGGCCATCTAGCTGAGAAGCAAGAAAGCCCACATGGAAGAAGCACACCAGCCTGTGTGATCATGATGTGTCAATAGGATCAGGTATCAAGCATCAAAGACCCAGAACAAAAAATCATATCATTGTGAATGAGGGGGAGTGTGGAGTGGAGACCCAAAGCCCATCTGAATGGCAATTGGACATCCCCTTACAGAAGGGTCACAGGGAGGAGACGAGCCAGTCAGGGTGCAGTAAAGCACTGATGAAACATACAACCTTCCTCTAGTTCAGCAATTCTCAACCTGTGGGTCGCGACCCCTTTGGGGGTTGAACAACCCTTTCAAGGGGTCACACGATTCATAACAGTAGCAAAATTACAGTTATGAAGTAGTAATGGAAACAATTCTACGGTTGGGGGGGGGGGCTCACTACAACATGAGGAACTATATTAATGGGTCAAGGCATTAGGAAGGTTGAGAACCACTGCTCTAGTTCTTTAATGCTTCCTCCCCGGCCCTATCATGATCCCAATTCTACCTTACAAATCTGGCCATACTAGAGCATGTACAAGGGTACAAATAAGAGCTGGAAACACAGGGAATCCAGGACAGATAAACCCCTCAGGATCAATATTGAGAGTAGCCATACCAGGGGAAGGTGGGGGGAGAATGGGGTAACCAATCACAATGATCTCCATATAACTCCCTCCCAGGGGGATGGTCAATAGAAAAGTGGGTAAAGGGAGACATTGGTTGGTGTAAGACATTAAAAAATTAATAATAATTTATAAATTATCAAGGGTTCATGAGGAAGGGAGAGTGGGGGAGGGAGGGGAAAAATGAGAAGCTGATACCAAGGGCTCAAGTAGGAATAAAATATTTTGAAAGTGATGATGGCAACAAATGTACAAATGTGCTTGACACAATGGATGTATAGATGGATTGTGATAAGAGTTGTATGAGTCCCCCACTAAAATGATTAAGAATAAATAAATATAAGAATACCAGAGTCCAAAAAGGAAAAAACCTCCATACATTTATTATCCATATGAATATGCTATCATTAAAGGAATAATTTCCAAATATTAGGGTAGGAGTGATGCATTTAAAACAAGCCAGCTGGTAGTGTGAATGAATACTATCAGAACATTCACTTTATCACCAATCCCCATAATTTGTATAAATAATGTCTAGTCACTTAAGAATTTAATCTGTAAAAACCAACAACTCATGCATTACGGTTCATAGATGGCCTATACTCCTATAATTTCCTTTTTTCAACAGTGGTTTAAATTCTATACCATTGACTAAACTAATATATATAATATAAATCCTCAAGGTCTGCAGTTTGAAACCACTAGCCAGTGCCTTGCAGGAAGGAGGAGGCTTTCTGAGCCAGTGAAGATTTCTAGGCTCGGAGACTCACAGGGGCAGTTCTACCTGGCCCTCCAGGGAGGGTCATTATGAGTCAGCATTAACTTAATGGCCGTGGAAGAGATGTCCCAAGGGAATGATTGATAATGTTCTCTAACATGAAATGACAATGATGTCTCTAAGGTATATCACAGACATATTGTCATACATATATGAATAGATTTTAGGCTGGCAGTTATTCTAGAGCTAATTAAGAACAACTATATTTGGTCCTTATGCCATGGCCCTCTGCTTGGTACTCACCCCCATAAAGAGATTACTGACGATACAGGTGCTACAGCAACATGTGAAAAGGAAACTGGAAGGTGCCAGGCTATCAGACAGACTAGCATATGGGGTCTTAAAAGGCTTGTCTTTAAACAAGCACCCTCTAAGTGAGATGTCAACTAAGTCCACAGGGAAAAAGCCGACCAGCCTGTGTAATGTCAGGATTGTAACACCTCATCCTGGCCCACCAAGCCCCAGGGACAACACCCCTGCTCAGAGCAGCCAATGCACAGAGACAACTGTAGGGCCAGCCCCACCATGAGACATGACACTCCCTCACTGAACCATACCGCCACGGGGGACTGCACTGGAGACAGTGTGTGAAGTGTGCCCCGTCTGCCCCATGCACAGTGGGGTGAAATGCAAAGGGGGTGAAACAGGGTAGCAAGAGGAGCAAAGTAACTAAGTCCCTGAGGAATCCTGAAAATAAGACTTCTGATTCGGGGGACAGGGCTTAGCACCTCATCAGACTTGACTGGAAAAATACATAAGGGTAAGCAGACAGGCCTGGAACTATCTATTTTTTTTTTCTTGTTTTTGTTTATTTGTATTGTTTTTCTATTACCCTAAGTCTATCTATATAAGACAGGCAGCATGGACAATCCCGAGGATAAATCAATGGGACCGGCGGTTCCGGGGGGACATGCAAGAGGGTGGGGAGGGGGAGGGGGGAGCCAACAAACTCATGGATAAGGGAACAACAAGGCCAGGTAGGGTTTAATCAAGTGCAATGTATCCGAGAGGAATTACTGAGAGATGAATGGAGGGTGAGCATGATAGTGGGATAGAAGGAAGGTGAAAGGAATAGAGGGAAAAAAAGGAGGCAAAAGCTATTCATAGAGGTATAGCTATAGGCATGTATATATGTAAATATATTAATTTATAATGAAAGGGATAGAGATCAATATACATATATTTAAATATTAAGTATTAAGACAGCAAACGGACTTTGGATTTCTACTCAAGGCCTCCCTTAACACAAGAACACTTAGTTCTAATAACCTGGCACTCTGATATTCACCTTCCCAACATGATCGCTGAAGACAAAATGGGTGCATGAGCAAATGTGGTGAAGAGAGTAGATGGTCTCCAGCTATAAAAAAATACAGCGTCTTAAAAGTTTGAAGTTAAATAAGCAGCCATCCACCAGGGAGACAAAGAAGCTCGCATGGAAGAAGCACACTAGCCTGTGTGATCATGAGGTGTCAATGGGATCAGTTATCAGGTACCAAAAGATCCAAAATAAACAACCATGTTGATGTGAAAGAGGGGGGTTTGAGTGGAGACCCAAAGCCCATCTGTAGACAATTGTAGATGCCCCCTACCCCCAAAAGAAGGGTTGTAAGGAAGGAATGATTCAACCAAGGTGCAGTTTGCACAGATGAAACACACATCATTCCTCTAGTCCTGATGGTCTCCCATCCGTCCAACAACTACAACACAGTTCTACCGTAAAAATCTGGCTAGACCAGAGAACACACATTGGTACAGATAAGAGCTCTCGATACATGGAATTCAGGACAGATAAACCCCTCAGGAACAGTAGTGGGTGCAGTGATATCATGAGGGTGGGGTGCTAGTTGGGGAGGGGGAGGGAGAGAAATGAGGAACCCAGCACCAAACCGGATATACAGCCGCCCCGCCCCCACCAGGGACAGATAACAGAGCTGTGTGTGAAGGGAGACACGGACGGTGCCAGATGAGAAATGACAACAGCAACATAGCACTGTTCAAGGATACAAGAGGGTGGAAGGGGGTGGGAGGGATGGGAAAAAGGAGGCGCTTACACCAAGGACTCAAGTGGAAAACGTTTTGGAAATGATGAAGGCAATGTATGTATAAATATGCTTGATGCAACTGACGTATGGAATGTTGTTAGAGCTGCAAGAGCCCTAAGAAAATGATGTAAAAAGTAAATAAAGTATAGTAGGTAACGCAACTAGGGGTCTTTTCTTCCTCTAAGCATATGCAAAGTGCCTGCATCCAACACAGATCTTTCCACTGCAAAGATTAAAAGCAATCAAACTCACAGCCGACGAGATTTCAATTCACAGTGACCCAATAGAAGAGAGTGGAACTACCCTTCTGGTTTCCAAGGCTGTAATTTTTTTTTCCTGATCTCTCACCCTCTTTTTTTTTTTTTTTAATAAATCATTTCATCGGGGGCTTTTACAACTCTTGTAACAATCCCACCATCAATTGTATCAAGCACATTTGTACACATGTTGCCACCATCATTTCCAAACATTTTCTTTCTACTTGAGCCTTTGGTATCAGCTCAAGTAGAAAGAAAATGTTTGGAAATGATGATGACATCCTCCCCCCGCCCCTCCCTCCCACCCTTGTGAACCCTTGATAATTTATAAATTTTTATTTTCATATTTTTCTGTGTCCGCTACCTCCCTTCACTACGTTTCTATTTTTTGTCTCCCTGGGGCTGGGGTGGGGGGAGTTGTGTGCCAATCATTGCGATCAGTTCCCCCTTTCTCCCCCTACCTGCCACCTACCATCATGGTATTGCTACTCTCAATACTGGTCCTGGATTATCTGTCCTGGATACTGTGTGTCAAGAACTCCTATCTGTAGCAGGGCGCACCTCTGGTCTAGCTAGATTTGTAAGATAGAGCTGGGGTCAAAGCATTAAAGAACTAGAGGAATGTTGAGTATTTGTTTCATCAGTGCTATATTGCATCCTGGCTGGCTCATCTTTTCTTTGTGACCTTTCTGTGAGGGGATGTCCAATTGTCTACTGATGGGCTTTGGGTCTTCATTCCGATCCCCCTCATTCGCATCAAAATGGTGTTTGTTTTGGGTCTTCTGATGCCTGATCCCGTCAACACCTTGTGACCACACGGGTTGGTGTGCTTCTTCCATGTGGGCTTTGTTGCTTCTCCGCTAGCTGGCCTCTTGATTATCTTAAAGCCTTTAAGACCCCAGACCCTATATCTGTTAATAAATAGCCAGGCACTATCCACTTCTTCACCTCGTAACTCATGCACCCATCTTCAGTGATTGTGTTGGGAAGGTGAGCATCACAGAATGCCAGGTTATTAGAACAAAGTCTTCTTGTGTTGAGGAAGCACTTGAGTAGAGGCTCAACGTGTGTCTGCTACCTTAATACTTAACACATAAATATATGTACATAGACCTATATCCCTGTAATTATATAGTAATATGTTTACACATGTATGTCTATGTTTATACCTCTATAAATGTCTTTTGCCTCCTAGTCCTTTCCTCAATTTCTTTTTACTTTCTTCCTGTCCCACAATCATATTTGCCCTTCATTTGGCTCTCTATACTTCCTTTCAGCTACATTGCATTTGATGAACCACACCAGGCATTCTATGCACTCCTTGCCATCAATTTAAGATCTTGTTGTCTCCTTGTCCCTGGGTTTGTTGGCTCCCCACTCCCCATTCCCCCACCTCCTCCTCTCCCCTGTCCCCCTGGAACCATTAGTCCCCTTATTTTCTCCATGGGATTGTTTATCTTGCCTATCTTATATAGACAGACATGGGAGAGGAGGAGCTGGAAGAAAGGGAGGGGGAGTCAACAAACCCAAGGACAAGGGAACAATAAGACATCTAAAGTTGATGGCGAGGAAAGCGTCGAATGCCTGATGGGGTTTGATCAAGTGCAGTATAGCTGAGAGAAAGTACTGAGAGTCGAATGAAGGTTGGACATGACAGTGGGACAGGAGTAAAGTAAAAAGAAATAGAGGAAAGAACTAGGAGGCAAAAGACATTTATAGAGGAATAAATATAGGCATGCATACATGTAAATACATTAATATATAACGATAGGGATATAGGTCTCTGTACATATATTTACAGGTTAAATATTAAGGTAGCAGATGGGCATTGGGTCTCTACTTAAGTACTCCCTCGACGCAAGAACACTTTGTTCTAATAACCCGGCATTCTGTGTAGCTCACCTTCTCGACATGATCGCTGAAGACAAAATGGGTACATAAGCAAATGTCATGAAGAAAGCTGATGGTGCCCAGCTATTAAAAGCACTTGGGGTCTTAAAGGCATCAAATTAAACAAGCGGCCATCTAGCAGGGAAGCAACAAAGCCTACATGAAAGAAGCACACCATCCTGTGTGGTCACAAGGTGTCGATGGGATCAGGGATCAGGCATCAGAAGAACCCAAACAAACAAATATATGAATGTAAACGATGGGGATTAGAACGGAGACACAAGCCCATCTGTAGATAATTGGACATTCCCATACAGAAGAGTCACAAGGAAAGAATGAGACAGGGTACAGAACAGCATGCCAGAATATACAACATTCCTCTAGTTCTTTAATGCTTACCCCCCCACCCCCACCCCCACCATCATGACTCCAGTTCTACCTTACAAATCCGGCTAGACCGGAGCATGTACACTGGTGCAGGTAAGAGCTCTTGACACACCAAATCCAGGACAGATAGACTCCTGAGGAACAGCAATTGGAGGAGCGATACCAAGGAAGGTGGGGGAAGAAGGGGGAGAAATGGGGAATCGACTACAATGACTGATGTATAAATCTCCCCCACCCCCCAACGGGGACGAACAGCAGTAACGTGGGCGAAGGCAGACAGCCGGCAGTGTGATATATGAAAATAAGAATAATTTATAATGTTATCAGGGGCCCAGGAGGGTGGGGAGGGTTGGGGAAGGAGGGAAAAAAGGAGCTGATACCAAGGGCTCAAACAAATAAAATACTTTGAAAATGATGATGGCAACATATGTACAAATGGGCATGATATTAATTGATGCATGGGTTGTTATAAGAGCTGTAAGAGACCCCAATAGAGTGATTTATTAACATAAAAATACAGTAGTGCTTTCATGTATATATATGAAATATATTTAAGTACATAAAATACATCATTTAGAAAGAATGAACCCATCAAATAATATTTCATATTTTTACTTTGATATTCAAAGACTGAAATCAGGACGTGTTAGAGAAAAGATAAAGGTCAGTAGCCAAATTTTGGTTTTCAAGAGAAAGAGGGATTAAAAATGTACGTGTGAATGTATGTGGTTGTCTAGCAAGTTTTAAATAAAATCTTCTAGCACATGCCTCAGAGAGTTTGTAATAATAATACTTTACATCTTGCACATACCTTTCTCACGTCTGAACTCTTTGGTTCTGTTGTCCAGGTTATGATTCTAGAAACAGCAAGCCTTGTCTCACTGGAGTTTATGAAATCTGTTGGATCCATCTGCCTGGCCAGAGATTCAATATATTTTAGGATTGCAACTTTGACCTGAAAGATTGAATAGTTGTAAATATTAAGCACACTTGATGATCCTTAAATACAATCCTCAATTGTGGGGAGGGGCTGTCAAAGCAAAGCAAACACTGCTGAGAGGGATTTTTCTTTTTCTTGGATTTGAGTTTCCAATGGAGGGTGCCTGGTGGGTGGGGGGAGAAGCATGAAAAGACCGATGATGAGTCCTGAGAACATGTAGCGTGCTCCCCTTCTCTTCTGGATATCACGCCTGTCCAGAAAGGGTGCTCTGCTTCTCATCCTGCCACAAGAGATTCCCAATGCGGGAAGCCCACACAGGAAGAATGGGGTTTCCAGCTCTGCCACGGACAGGGAAGGCAAGGCAACGCTGCAGCGAGTTTCTCAAACATTACAGGCCAGGCCCTAGAAGTTATCACGTAATAATAATAAGGCAGACCTCCTGCCCTAACTTTTCCACTGCATTGTTTTTATTGCTTTTGACCTCATAAAAAGGGAAATTTACTGTGCCCACCCTAAAGCTTCACAAAAGTTAATGTCAAACAAGAGATGGACATGATCTACTTAAAGTTATAGACATATTTTCTCATCAAATTTAATCTTGATATCACAGGTATAATTTCCCCTATCAATTCGTTTTCATGTCTTAAAAAGTTAACATTCCAATTAGATACCTAACCATTACATGAGATTGTCTTAACAGTAATTGTGTAAAAGACTGGTAATAAATATTGGTGAAGATAAGGGACAAGTAGAACTCCCATGCATAGTTGATGAGAATATGGTAGAACCATTTTCAGTTTCTAATGAAGTTTGACATAAACCCCTCCTATAAGCCAGCAATTGTATTCTTAGGTATTTAACCAAGAGAAATGAGAAAATGTCCATAAAGATTTGTGCAAGAATGTAAACAGTGCTTTACTCACTACAGTCAAATAGTTACATATGAAGCACGTAATTTTTAAGCAAACTTATGTTCTAAAAGTTGAACTGTAATGACAAATAATTACCAACCTTGAGATTTGGAGTTTGAGTTTGATCCACAATAAATCTCATCAAGATGTTAAATTGTTGATCAAATGGAAAGGAATCCCTATTTTGAAAAAAAGCAAAGCTTGCTTTTAAAGAATGACTTATTACAAAGAATGTAACAACTACATAAGAAACAAAAACATCCTGTTTTGGATATTTGTAATGTATATGAAAGCAAACCGGTTCACATTTTAAACTAGTATTTTAAAACTTATTATAAATACTAAAGTAATACAGTTATGTCGAAAATGGAAAATGTTTAAACTCCTAAAATGTTCTATACTAAATTTTCTCTGAGTATGATATTTTAAAAATCAAGCCAAAGTCATAGGCTAGGAACTATCATCTTACCCATCGAAGGGTCCGCTCACCTTTTCAGCCGCCCTTCTGAATGATGTTTGTGTGAGCACATACCCAATTCTCAAATCTCCCTTCACATCCCACCCAAGTGTGTATACGACCTCTCCTTGCTAGCTGCAGTACCCTCCGTAGTCTTGGCTTTGCCATTGCTTAGGGCGATGTTTTGCAGCGTTACCACCATAAAGGTGCCTATGAGACAGTCTGCAAAGAAAAATTCCCACCCAGCTAAATAGATACACAAGAGGCCAAGGGCCCCGGGAACTCCTTCTCCCTCTTGTTCTGACCTACACGGGAGTCCATGGTTTGGCATTTTAGCCTCCAGAATTCTAATAAAGTTAATGTCTAGTCTTTAAAACCACTCGCTTGTGATATTTAGGTTACAGTACTATTTACTAAATGCTCTCTGTATATGAAGCCCGTGTGGAAGACAGGGATATGATTTCCATGCAAAAGGAAAAATTACATGAAAAGTATATATTATGATGGTGGCTAAAATGATTGCATTGATCTCGTTGAACTCTTAGAGACTCTCCTCAATCTCCATAATAAAAACAATAGTAAAAAGAGAGATGTAGGTTTGAAACTAAAATAATAAAATAAAGTAACTGATACCTATCTCAAAGACTGATTTGAAAAGTAAAGAATTTAAAAGAAAAAGTTCACGCCACATATCAGATGCCAGTGCATGAGGCACCTAGGCACATACTAAGTTTCATTCCTGGACAACAGTGAACTTGATCAAAGAGCATCTTGTTTCCAGCAAACTGAGGACCAGGTCTAGAAGCAGAGTATGCAGCGGTATTCGTGGTCCAGTCAATCCTCGGTTTGACTAATAAGGCAATAGGGATTTAAGGGACTCATGCTTAATGATAATTAAAGAAAGAAAGCCACAAACTGTAACAAAGTGTCTTTCTTCATCGAGCGGTGGAGGACAAACACATTTAACTACTGTATTTAACCTAGGAGAGGGCCCTATTGTTAGGCACAAGGCGAAGGAAAAGAAACCAAAGAAGAGGAACAATCAGGTCTTTAACTTAAAGAACAGCCAGTCATCATTGAAGGTCCCAGGCCCCATCTCTCCCCTTTATCAGTCACTGACTAGTTCTACATAAAGGGACCCTAGGTGGCAAAGTGTTTACACACTGAGCTGTGATTCACAGGGTTGGCAGTTCAAAACCACCAGCAGCTCCACGAGAAAAGACTGGGCTTTCTACTCCCATAAACATTTACAGTCTTGGAAACCTACAGGGAGTTGCTATGAGGCAACATTGACTCGATGGCAGTGGAAGGTTCTAGATAAGCTTGAGAAGCTATATAATTCTGCTGCAGAGAACAAGAAGGACCCAATGAAAATGCTTCAGGAAATGAGATAAAATACTATATGGAAATCAAGATTTTAATAGGAAAGAGGCATCCAGGAAACTAATAGGATGTAGTGGATTCCTTAATCACTACAGTTTAGGAAGACCCTCACACACTCACTGCCAGTAAGTCGACTCATAGCTGCCTCATCCTACAGGGCAGAGTGAACCTAACTGCCCCTGTGGGTTTCCTAGACGGTAACTCGTGACAGGTGTAGAAAGCCTGGTCTCCTGCAGAGGGGTTGCTGGTTTGGGATGGTTGACTGCAGCCTTAAAAATCTGAAGTGGATCTTTTCATTCATGATTTCACCTAAAATTTGAGCCATAAGCAAAATTTCACTCACATTTTTATTTGGCCTTCATAGTGTCATGAAAATGTGCAAATTTGTTGCCCATGTCTACAATTCTGGTCTCTTTTGAACAGCATGGCACCAGTAATTCCCTATCCCAACCGACTGTAGCTCTGCAGTCCCACTCCATGTCCTAACCCCATTTGCTTTCTTCATTCATGTCCACTCTATCAGTCTAGTTCCTATAGCCAAGTCCGGACTAAACTTGTATCAACAACTGGTATTGGTATAAATCAATATATCCTAATTCCATTGAGCTTTGTCATCTAAAGGAGTGGTGAAGTTTGAAAGACTTATCATAAATGCAGTCTATTATTTTTATGTTCATGAAAAATCTAGGTAATAGAGTTCTATAGCATTGCAAATTATAAATATCTACAGGGCCAGGAACCAAAAGAAGGCAACTGGCATCACAGTGTAGAAAAACCATATAGAAGCTTTGAAGCCTAGGTTCAAATATTGACTCTTCTTTCTTATGTGCTAAGCTAATGACAATCTCTCTCTGTCGCAGTTTCCTCAGCTGTAAATGATGAAAACAAAAAAGTTACACCCATGGACTTAAGGCTTGAAAGGGCTTAGTGTCCAGTAGATAAAACTGTTGTAAGCGGGAAGTGCTATTAACAATATTATTACTAAAATGTACATGAGTTAAAGGAACATTAAATCTGTAACTGTGACCCTAGATCTTCTGGCTACTGAAGGAAGGTTGCATGACTGAGCGGAAAGAATTCAGGGTAGAACCCAAAGTCTCTGGGTTCCAGCCTGTACTTTCCCATTTAGAGACTCTAAGAAAGTTAGCAAAGTTTCCAACTGCAGGGAAGAGCCAAACGTTCTAAGATTTTTTTCCAAGTGGGATATTTGCAGTCATGTCCAATTCTAGTGATGGGATCGGGGAAGAAAGAGGTTTCTTAAAATTTATCTGTGAGATTTAGCCCTGAGGATATTATTGCTATTTTTTAAAGAGAAAAATAAATACTATGGTTAAGAGGCATGTAAAGCACAATAGTAGCTAATGGCAAGTGGCCCTGTTAGACTACAATCAAACTATGGGCCAGAACCGTGTCCTAAACATTGGCTGCATGTAATGTCTTGCTCCCAATGTGCTTTCTCATGTATAGCCTGACCCTACTGTGGTAGAATGAATATACACAAACAAAAGAAAAATAAATACATAAATGGCCGGATGGCTGGCTCAAGGTCTTTCAGAAAATTATCTGCAGGTATTAACTAAAATAATCAGAACCTAAAAATGGATTCGAGGTTCTAAATGCCTGGGCTGTAGTGGTACCCTCACCACATTTCCAACTATAATTACCGAACTGTGATTATGATGTGATATCACGTCCCTGAATGTTACTGATGTTGTAAACATAAAACTTTGCAGATATAATTAAAATTATTCACCAGAGAACTTAAAATAGGGAAAGTATCCTGCATTAGGTCCCTGAGTGTTACAAATCATTTGTACTTGGTCACCTAGAAGCACTACAGAAGTGAAAAAAACAAAACAAAACAAAAAACCCTGTAAAGCAGTTCAATTCTGTAGCAGATGGGATCACCCTGAGACAAAATTACTCCACAGCAATAGGCTTATCTAATCCTGGATTACCACCATATAACCTAGTCATATGAGAACCCCTTTAAAGCCCAGTTTTCTCTGACTAGTAGCAGAAGAAGTAGAGAGTCAGATAATCAAAAGGCATGCAGGTGGCCCTAGGAATAATCCCCAGCTGACATCCTATAAGTCAATGAGGACTTGGGACCTATAACCACAAAGAACTAAACTCTGCAAACAACCATTTAATGGACTTAGAAATATTCCGCCCCTACCCTCCACCTCCAGTCTCAGTTGGCCAATACTCTTATTTCAGCCACATGAAAATCTAAGCACTAGGTGATTTCTTTTTTTTTTTTTTAATTTATGCATCTTTTTAGTTGCTTTTTTTTTTTTAACATTTTATTAGGGGCTCATACAACTGTTATCCCAATCCATACACACATCAATTGTGTAAAGCGCATTTGTACATCGTTTCTCAAAACATTTTCTCTCCATTTAAACCCCCGACATTAGGTCCTCATTTTTTTCCCTCCCTCCCCGCTCCCCCCTCCCGCATGAGCCCTTGATAGTTTATAAATGGGTATTTTGTCATATCTTGCCCTGACTAGGTGATTTCTAAGCTAATAATTTGCTACCTAGCAACACAAACATGGTGTTACTCTAATTTATAGTAACTGGAACTTACAAAAGTCATTGCCCATACAGCCTTCAAGTGATCTGGGGATACTTATTTGTTCTTTTAAAACCACACTGATGTGGCACACTGCCTTCCATCTTCCACTAAATTACAAGCAAGGCATTTCTGCAAAGTATTTTGAAATAATTTAATTTCTAATACTGGTAAGAAGAGGACTTGAAATTGGACAAATAGGTGACAGGTGTCCGAACAGTGATAACATAATCAGCAGTTTATCATTTTCTGAACCAAAGCAGCTTTTCTTTTCTCCTAGAGCAGCGATTCTCAACCTGTGGGTCGCGACCCCTTAGGGGGTCAAACGACCCTTTCACAGGGTTGCCTAAGACCATCAGAAAACACATATTTCCGAGACACCGCTCCCCTATCAGTCTCCAGGCGGGTCTGCCCACATGCAGATACGCCCACATACGAGTACCCGGCATGAAGACTGTTACCCGTGCTACACCATGCTTCCAGACCAAATTACATTTATTTGTAATTAGAAACAAATATTTCACAATATATAATTACATATTGTTTTTGTGATTAATCACTATGCGTCCATTATGTTCAATCTGTAACAATGAAAATACATCCTGCATATCAGATATTTACATTACGATTCATAACAGTAGCCAAATTACAGTTATGAATTAGCAACAAAAACAATGTTATGGTTGGGGATCACCACAACAGGAGGAGCTATACTAAAGGGTCGCAGCAGTAGGAATGTTGAGAACTGCTGTCCTATAGGCTAGAGAAGTCACAATTGCTGTGATTGTTTTATTAATCTCTGAGCCAATTATGTATGAACTTAGAAACTGCTGTTGAATCACTGGGAACTCTACAGCATATGATACTTACAGCACATTTCTAATACAAGCTTTAAAAAGTTGAAGTATTACAGACACTGAAGTCTTCAGAGAGTTAAAAACAAATATATACAAGTATTTTTTTTCCCAGAGAAGAGAGTTAACTCTGAGGCTTAATTTTGTTTTTATAGTTGTCTTGGACATACAGCAAACTGATGGATAAAACATGCTAACAAATACGTCAACAAGTGAATACAGGAAGTGAGGAAGAGGGATTCCGAGTGGCAAGAACACACCTGAATTTTATAACATGAAAATTGTCTTCTTGAACATTACCTTGTTATATCTAGAGCCTTCTGAACTTTTGCTTGCACAGACCCAAGTAAATCTGCACCCATTTTCTTGAGTAATTGTGTGAGAAGAACAAAAAGCCAATCTTGCAAGTCGTCCTTGTGAATTATTATGAAATCCACCAGAGTCTCCAGAAACATACTAAAAACCTAGAAAAGTGATGGAAACGAAAGCCAAATATTTCATATACCTAGTTCAGGATTCTCTCCAAAATCTTTACAAGATTAAATGTGCTCCTACTGACCTTGCCCACACTCAAAAAAAAAAATAGAGATTTAATTACGCTCGTGGTCAAAGTTTACACAGCAAGTCTACCTTTCTACTGATAATTTCCACACTAATTAATCAGTGACATGAGTGTCTTTATCAAAATGTGTCAACATTCTCTTTAATTTTGTTCAATTTGTTCTCTTTTCAGTACTTTCCTTTCCTTGAGAACCTATCTTGGCATCTTTGTTTCTGAGGTATTGTTGACTTTTTGATCTAATACTGATAGTTTTAAAGTAAGGTACCTAACTTACTGGTAATCTCCTTTATTTTGTGAGCCACTCCGCCATGTCACTTAAAGGTAATCTCAGGGGATAGGCTCATTTTAAAGAGGGTGAAAGACTTTGGGAGCTCTCTTATCTCCAATCGTTCTTGTTTTTCTGGCGTTTCCCCACCCCCCCCAATTCTGTCCAGTACCAACTATTACAACCCCGGTTGGGCACCATCTAGTTCTTCAGGTCTCAAGGTCTCAATACCATGGAGAGGGTTCTGACTCTTGGCAACCCATTATGCCATCTGGGCTCTGGTCTCAGGGTAGATGAGGTTTCATAACACTGTTAATGACTGGTCCCATTAACAAGGTATATGTATTACAGAAAACAGATAAGCAAAACTGGAACTTACTCTCTGTTGTGAATTCCATCGCAAAGCAGGTCATGCAACAAAACAAATTCAGTGTTAGTCTACAGTGAATTGATACCATTTTCATGCAGTTTCTTAAAGAAAACGGAAAAACCTAAAAACTGATAAAAATTCTATTCTCTCCCTCAATGTGTTGTTGTTGTTGTTGTCAAATTAATTCTGACTCACAGCAACCCAAGGTGATAGATCAGACTTGCCCCATAGTTTCATAGGAAGCAGATTGCCGGGTCTTTGCTCCTAGGAATGACTTGTGAGTTCGAACAACTGATCTTCTGGCTAGCTGATGAGTGTTTTACCATTGCTCCACCAGGGATCCTTTATCTCAGGCCTCAGAAATGTAGTGCAGAGAGGAGTTAACTTCGATGAAAATTATTAGTTTAATTCTGGAGGTTTGTCTTTCTTTTTTACTCTTCAAAAAAATCTTTAAAGTTCTAATTCTACACTATTATTTTTATTAGCTAGCATTCAAAAACCACTAGTATAAAGATGACTCTTTACATATTTATATATACAACAACTCTTTTCTGTATTTGAGACAGCTATTTCAAATATAAGTCAATTTCAGGCATTATAAAAAAAAAGATAAGGCTTAAAAAGTAAGAGGTACTAAGAGTTCACATTTTTCTCATGTTACTTTAGACTCATTGGCTTTCTCAGGTTCAGTTCCTTGGTCTCAGGAAGTATGGACACCAACTAAGGACCTACTTCTTTTAGATCTAGCAAGTTCTTAAGTTCAGCAAAATTCTATTTGGAGAAATAACTTAACTTGGTTTTTCATTAAATCCGCAAAATAAATGCTTCCATTTTTCTAGCATATTGGCTAATAGGAGGTGCTCAAAATATATTGGCTGGATGAATGACTGTATCTGATTGTTTCCATGTTAACTCTTAACTGAAGTCAACTTTAAGTTTTATAATGCTTGAGTTTTAAAAGAACTGAATTTTTAAAAGACAGAACATACAATATTCTTGAAATTGGTGTTAAAGTTATAAGGTATAAACTGCACGGTGGGGAATTAACTCTCATTCTTGGATAGTATATTCCTCGCAAGGAGGGGAAATCGAGTCTACAGTGTTACATCCCTGAATCATTTTCAGAGCTACTAGTACTATGTGCCCCTACTATGTTAATGAGCCTTACTCTACTGGGGCATCCCACCTACTCAGTCTCTTATGAGACAACTTAGAAATAAATGAGCCCAAGCTTTGGAATTTCTGGTTTTGCTCATAGGCAACTAACAAATATTAACTAAACTAAAACCTGCAAACTCACTGTACAAGAGCCTTCAGTTGGAAACAAATTTCCTTCTTTATCCTCAAATTCTGGTTCTGAGTCAGCAATCTAGAGGTGACAGGTAACAGAAATTTCATCAATGTCCAAAGCCATCTAATGCCCCTTATGTTGCAAATGTTACACTATGAATCTTACTCTGAAGGCTACTTAAAGTCTTGCTAACCATATCTTTAGTTATCTACGTGGGCTTTTTAAATCAATCATTCCTTGATTTGTAAGTTAATATTGTTATTGGCAACCTTGCTGTGAGGATCAATTAATGAACCTAAACACATGCTTCAACACCATTATTCAGTGAGAGAACTGTTGGTGGAAATGAAACAATAGAACCTTTTCATTTGTTTCCCCAAACCCTCACAAACACCTGAAAATCATACCTAGTTTTCTGGATCTCTAACCCAGAACAAGTGTTCAGGAAGTGGGGAATGCTTTCAAGGACAACTCCTTCCTAAAGGAAGGACGGACATGAAAAGACAATAGAGAGATCACAGTGACTGGCTAGATTCCTTAGCTACCACCAGCTTCTTTTTCTCAGCATGACTTGGAAGATACTTTTACTAGAAAAACTGATGTATAAAACAGTTAATCTTGCATATCATGCAAGATTTAAGATTTACTTATGATAATTTAATATACTATAAATTTCAATAGTTTAATTTCCTTTCTTTTTAACTCTCCTAATATTCCCATTTGCCCATTTTCTTTCACTAAAAGCATCTAACAGCCTCTCTAAGAGCTTACCCTCAAATAATGGCATAAAATCTAGCCTCCGACAGATCTCTGAAACACAGAAAAAGGGAAGGGTGTCTCATCCTACTTCGTCCCCCCCACCTACTCCTCTGCCTTAGCCATGGGCAAGGCAGGGGTTGGGCTGAGTGCGACCTTCACTGAGGCCCCAGAACCGAAGCCTCACCATCAAACGTCGGAAACGGAAGTCAAAGAAAAAGGCGGAATGGACCAGTGACACCGTGGGCAATGAGCTCATCCAAAGGCTGCTGGATTTACGCGAAACCTCGGGCCTTTGGCGAGAGCTCCACAGAGAGCGATGAGGACGAGGAAGGCTGTGGTCATACACACTGTGCCAGGGCCCATCACAAAGGACGAAGCCGTACATCCCAGGACCCGATCTGCAGCACCCCTCCCCAGCCAGTGGACCACTCCCAGGCCCCTTCAGGGTCAATACAGCACTAAATTCCTCTCTCCCCTTCCATTCCTGTCTGTCTGGCCCTGAGTTTATCCATGTAGCTACTTGGGGGCTAGACCCGTGGTTTAACCCCTTCTCCAGGTGCCCTCTTCCCCTGTCCTCTGCCTGCTAGAGAGAAGGAAAGGAGACCCCTCTGTATTCCAGAGCTCCTGGAATTCTGACTTGCTGCTATTTCAGAACTTAGGCTTCTGGGTTTCTCCAGCCCTCAATATCCCTCCTGATACCAAGCCTCTCCCCTTGAAGGGCCCAGGCTCTATCCTGCTCCTTTGTTCTCATTGCCAAACCTGTCCGGGATCGGTTAGCTCGGTCCCCTGCACACTCCACTTGAGCCTCAAACACTTACATTGGGTTTCAACAGCCCCAACTTTCACTGCCAGGGTCCTGGGCTGATCCCAGGCAGCCTGGTCCTAGTTATGCTCACTGGTGTTAGCAAAGAAGCTCTTCCACTATGTTTGTATGTTTGCAATCTGGACTCCTAGTCCTATGGGTCTCAGGAGAGATCCCAGTGCCCCCCCCACCCACCCACACTTTCCTCTCACTCCCTTCAGGCTATTTAGAGGAAGGAGGAGGGAGAGAGCCTTTTGCCACACTCGCCTCTGATGGGAAACCAGAAGAAGAAACAGGGTGCCCTCTGTGCCCCTTCTCAGGGATTCCTGTGGAAGCTATCTCCCTAACTGGTTGCTCAGAGCCCACTGTCTCTCAGCCTTTGGTGTGCCAGTGTCTGAGCCAGAGGAGACCTAGTCCCAGAAGCCTGGATTCTTAAGGGAGAAATAGGAAGGGAGCAGGTAGAGAGATGGGGGTATGCCCCTCACACCCTTTCTTCTTCCTGGTGAGGTCTGGGTATCACTTCCCAAGCCTCTCACATGCAGTTGCAAAAGTCAATCAAACCCATAACACCACCGATATAGCATTTATTTCCTATTGCCATAGATGCCAAAATAAATAACCCAACATACAAAAAAAAAAAATAGCCTCCAGGTAAACTTCTGTAAAGGTTTCTTCTCTCAGCATCACCACTAAAAAGAGCCCTGTCCTACACTCATAGATGTTTTCTCTTCGGTACGGAGTCCCTTGTCAAAAAGACATTCCTCGAGTTCAGTTCCTTGGTCTCAGGAAGTGTGGGCACCAACTCAATGTCTACTTCTTTTAGATCTAGCAAGTTCTTAAGGACAGCAAAATTCTATTGGGAGAAATAACTTAACTTGGCTTTTCATTAAATCCACAAAATAAATGCTTCCATCTTTCTAGCATATTGGCTGGATGAATGAAGACTGTATCTGATTCCTTCCATGTCAACTCTAACCCGAAGTCAACTTTAAGTTTTATAGTGCTTGAGTTTTAAAAGAAGTGAATTTTTAAAAGACGGAACATGCAATATTCTTGACATTGGTGTTAAATGTGTAAGGTAGGAGCTGCACTGTGGGGATTAACTCTCATTCTTGGACAGTACAGTCCATAGCTCATGTACACATGCAGGAAGGACGGGAAGAGGACACCCTAGACTCACCTTGCTATGTGGGTCAGCAAACATTCGGGTGAAGATCTCACACAATCTTTTCAGTTCTACTCGACTAAAGGAAATAAAATGAAAATAAATGAATTCAAATTTAATAAAGCGGCACTGCCATTCATTTCAGCTTTGAACTTTAAAAGCCTTATTATGTAATTTAAACTTATACCACTAAATTTTTCACAAGTGAATTACCTTATTTCTTTCAAATTCCTATTTAATTGAATCATGAATTAATTTGAATAAATGTATCAATGTTTCTGTTATATTTCTGTTTAAATTCATCATGAATTAAATGGTGATGATGTTAGTCTTGCATTAAGATGAGGGAACTAAGACGCCGAGTGGTTGCCTGAGTTCACACATCTGGAAGTGAGTGGCAGTCATGAGCCAAACCCAGTTCAGCTCATCCTAGGTCTGCTCCACTTTCAAGAGGAACGGCAATGGAACGCGCTAGAAAAAGGAGCCTGTGTTTTGGGTCAGGCACGTGAATGTTAAACTCAGTAGACAAAGCACCCTTATACCTGTAAGGGTGTGCCATCAAACAGGTTTATAAAAACTCCTTTACATGGTTGCTGGGAGGCGCAAAGAAAATAGTATATATTACCTATAGAGCAAACAATCCTTTCATGTTAGTTGGTGCCTTTCGCCTTTCCTCAACTGTATTATTTGAATCCCACCTATGCACTGGGAGACAGAGTGATACTACTGTACAAGTATTAGACTACTAGCTACAAGATCAATGGTTCAAACCCACCAGCTGCTCCTCAGGAGAGAGATGAGACTGTCTTTTCCAATAAAGGTTTACAGCCTTGGACAACTTACATAGGGTTTCTCTGAGTCAAACTCTGCTGGATGACAGTGGTTTTTCTTTTTTAACATTAGGGAACAGAACCTGGTAGCACAACGGATTAACCACTGGAACGCCAACCAGAGGCTGCTCCACCAGCTGCTCCAAGGGAGAAAGATGAGGCATCTGCTTCCACAAAGATCTACAGCCTCAGCAACCCCGTAGAGCACTTCGACTTGTTCACAAGACCACTATGAGTTGGAGTCCACTGGACAGTCATGAATCTGCGTTGGGTTTTTACTTTAGAATTTAGTATGTGTCATTGCTTTCCCCCCAAATGATCCCCTCAGGCAGATGGTTCAATGATCCTTCAATAATGGTAATAACACCATTTGATTAGGGCAATACTGAAATTACTCAAAGGATATCGGTGAACATACAGAATCATGAAAATGGGGCCAGGAGAAGCATACGGATTCTTAAAAACAGCCAGAACATTTCATTTTTTGGAGTGCTCTCTACATTGTCATGGACTAGGCTTCAAAAAGGTAAGTGAGAAACCTCTCAGGACAGCTTCATGCACAGAATGGAGTGAAGCGCCAAGAACGACGGAAGGAAGGTGGTAGATTAGGGTCCCGGGGGGCACGAATGGTTTGTGGCTTAAACCTACTCGTATTCTACCCACCCCGATTCATTCATCAAAACCCCTCAGCTTGATATTGTCTATGAAGAAGTTCCATTTATGAGTCACTTTATACTGTTTCCAGATAATTAAAACAAAACACAAAGTCCAAAGACCATAGTATTTGTTCTTCACGTAACTGAAATTGCCTCCTATAATCAATGACATTTTAGTATTATCACTTGACAAATGGTTCTTCTTGGAGGGATATAAAATGGCTGTATCAATATACAGTGATTTAGATTTTATGAAACACTACGTAAACATAACATACATACCATAAAGTTATTTTAGAAAATGTATCAACTACAAAAGCAAAAATAATGAGAAATGACACTATTGTTACTTTAGAGTACTTCATTTTATTGCTTTGCATGCTTATTTATGTTGTATTAATGCATTTGTATTTTACAAATTATAAAAAAGTATACTTTTTTTTAAAAATTGAATCATTTCATTGGGGTTCTTACAGCTCTTAAACGTTCCAAACATCAACTGTACCAAGCATAATTTTACATGTGTATACCATACTTTTTGCATTTAACATGATTTTAAATGTGATCTCACAGCAGTTAAAAAAAAGATTTATTGCGATTGAAAGGAGAACTATAGAGAAAGCCTTACTCTATCACTTAGCTAATGGTTTAATATTGAGTATGTTATGTTAATCAATCTCTCTGTGGCTGAGTTTCCTCATGTGTAACACCAGAAAAAGACTGACACATACCTTGTAGGATTTTTTTAAGGATTATATATGAGGGGGTACCCCCCAAAAAATGAAAATGAATCCCCCCCCAAAGATTTGTAATTAAATGTTTTTTTAAAACAACATTATCACCTTCAAAGTACTCTTCTTGACATTTAATATATTTGTCAAATCTGTGATTCCATTCTTGAAAACATTTTTCAAACTCATCTGTTTGGATGGCTGACAGCATCTCCCTTGTTTTTTCTTCACCTCTTCTACATTGGCAAATCGCTGTCCTTTCATGTCCCTCCATGCGCAGAAACAAAAAGAAGTTGCAAGGAGCTGGGTCAGGTGAGCAAGGTGGGTGGGGCAAGAGAGGCATGCTGTTGTTTTCTCAAAAACTGGTGCACTGAGATGGCTGTGTAAGCAGGTGCATTGTCGTGGTGGCAAAACCAGTCCCCCGTCTGCCACTAATCAGGCCTCTTTTGTGGCACACAGTTACACAATCTTTACAGCACCTCTACCTAGAAAGCTTGATTAACAGGCTGACCTGGTTGAATGAACTCCAAATGCACTCTGAGTCGACATTTTTGTCTGGTATGGAAGTTGACCGACATCCAGAATGAGGTTTGTCATCAATTGACATTTCACCTTTTTTGAAATTTGGAAACCATTCCTACACCTGAGTTTTTCCCATAGCGTTGTCCTTGTATGCTGTGTTCAACATCACAAGTAGCATTTTTCCAGAGCAGGAAACAAAATTTCACAGCCGCACGATGTTCTCTTAAATCGGCTATCACATAAAATGAGGTTTGCGCGAAACTGCTTGCTCAAAAAAATTCACTGTGACAACAGAACCTCCCGTGGTGACGCCACTGGGTGCACTAACTCAGAGGCAGCTGCTCCATGCTCGCCTTGTGGGGAAAAATGTGTACTACAAAAGCTCTGCTCAGCGTAATTCTGGTTTATTTTTGTGTACCCCCTCATAAGTAAATACTGATAAAGCACTTAAAAAACTGTGTAACCATCATCTTACTACTGTATATTGAGGTTATTTTAACAATTACCAAAAAATGTTCTAATAAGCATTTTATACATTTTGTCCTAGGAGTGAGATTGCTAAGCCAAAGTTTGAAAAGCATTTTAATGATTTTTAATTAATAATGAACTGACCCACTTTTTAAATGGTACAATATAACCATTTCCAGAGGCTATTCTCTAAGCATGTTAGTTTAACCCAAAGAACCTATAAATACAATGTAATTCTGATTCAGATCCTAACTCCACTGTTCAAACAAAGATGGAAAAAGCAATCACTAACTGTATGTAAAGGGAAGAGTCCTAAAATAAGCAAAGAACTTCTTAAGAAGATGAGCAAAACAGGAGGCCTCTCAATACCTGGCCTCAAAGCCATAGAGCCACAGTAGTCCAGACACCCAGGCACTGGTACCATGGACATTTAGACCAAGGGAACTGAATGGAGAACCCAGAAATAAATTAATCCACTGATAGACCACTGATCTTTGACAAAGGGCCCCCGAAAACTAAATGGGAAAGAGATGGTCTCTGGGGAAATTGGATCTCCATCTGTAGAAGAATGAAACAGAACCCACATCTCACGCCATGAACAAAAACACACTCAAGAAAGACCAGAGAACAAAAGTATAAAGATCATCGGAAATTTAAGGGTCCTACTGCAGCACATAGCAGCCCTTATGACGCCGTGGTTACATGCTGATTTGTTAACCACATGGTCAGCTCTATGAAACCACCCGCTGCTCCCTGGGAGAAAGATGAGGCTTTCTACTGCCTTAAAGAGGGGCAGTTCTGAGTCAGAATCCACTCAATGGCACTGAGTTTTTAATATTGCAGGGTATGGGCATACTGTCAAATCTATGAGGAAAGCACACGCAGTCGAAGACACAATAGATTACCGAGATGTACTAACGATAAGACACTTAGACTCATCAAAGGACCTCCTCCAGAGTAAAATGAGAAACCACAGATTGGGTAAAAACGTTTAGCAATGACACAACAGAAAAGGGACTATTCTCTAAAATCTACAGAATGCGGAAACACCTCAATTAAAACAGAATAGAAACAAATAACTAAGTTAAAATGTGGACAAAGGATATGAAGGACATCCAATGGTTGACAGATATATGAAAAAATGTTCATGAGCATTAGTCATCTGAGAGATTCAAATCAAAACAACACCGAGATATCACCTTACACTGACATGACAGCCCAATTAAAAATACAAATCAAAAAACCACCCCAGAAAACAACAAGGGTTCGGAGAGATGGGAACTCTCATGCATTGCTGGTGGATCTGTACATATATCTAACTATTGTCGAAAGGGATACAGAACTACCTCAAACAACCGGGAATATAAATTCCATGAGTCAGCGATACCTCTGCTGGGTCTATACTCTGAAGGAGTAAGAGCCAAAACACAGACAGACATATGTACTCTCATGTTCATGGCAACAGTGTTCACACAATAGCAAGAAATTGGAAACAGCCCAAATGCCCATCAGTAGAAAAATGAATATAGAAACTGTGGTACATATACACAATGGAATAGTATGCATGGGTGAAAAACAATCATGAAACTAGTCATTAACAAAAGAACAAATACTATATGTGATCACTACCATAAGGATAAACGCCAACAAAAGACTTGTATATACAGGAGGTGGGCAAGGGAAAGAAGATGAAGCAATGAAATAGGAGGTTATTAGGTACTGACTTGGGTGAAAGGGTGAACAGGGAGCCATAAGGCAGAAAAGAGAAACCTAAGGGGGTGGGGAAACTGTTGAATAATTTGAAATGTTAGATGCAGAGTTGATGGCCTGAAGTGTAAGTCCCCCCACCTAATAATGGAACCCATGTGCCTTAGCAGTTACGTGTTGGGCTGCTACTGCCTTAAAGAGTTACAGTCTCAGAAACCCACAAGGGGCAGTTCTACCCTGGCCTGTAGGGTTGCTATTAAGTTGGGATCACTTCAATTGCAGTGAGTTTGGTTTGAGTTTGGAATTCCCAATAAAAAAGTCATTAAACAAAAATAAGGAGGAGGAGGATACAGTTTAGTCATTTGTGCTTTCCAAAATTTTAATTGTTTCAAATGTACACAAATGAATAGGAGGCAGAGGTTCAGGCTGAACTAAGTTACTTTCTTAAAGGATTGCCAATAGTTAGATATCTATAATTGTAATTTCCAATCTTATTAGCTGTTATGATCAACAGCATACTTAACCACTGCTATGGATTGAATGTACCCCCCAAAATATGTGTTGTAAATCCTAACATCTATGCATGTGGTTATAATTCTATTTGGGAATACATTGCCTTTGTATGTTAATGAAGCAGAAATTAATCTCTTGAGGTATAAAGGAGCTGAAACAAACAGTTCAAAGAAGCAGAGATGGGAAAAGGTGGATGCCAAGGAGCAGTGAGATCTCCAAGGACCCAGGAAAGAAGCTGAAGAGACAAGTGCTTTTCCTCAGAGCCCAAGGAGAGAGCAGGGCTTCCTCTAGAGCCTACACCTGAATGTAGATTTCCACCCTCCGCAACTGGAAAGATATGTTTAGTTGTTACAGGCATCCACCTGTGACATTCGTTATGGCAGTACTAGACCACCATGACCACCACCCATCAGAAACTGCACTCCTCAATGAATTCACTGAATTCTGAAACCAGGTACCTATAGGAAAAAACATGCTCGCCATGCCAACATCCACACAGGGAGCTGTGCATTTGCATTCCATTAATCTACTACTTCCTACTAACAATCCTTGCTGAATCTGGAGAGGTTATACTAGTAGTAAAGCCAAGGTGATTGGTTTTGTCTTCTACTGCTAATTAAGAGTTCAGACGGAGACTACAGTCCTTTTCCTCAGGATCCGTAAGTGCAATGTACAGTATACCAACCTGAAGAGCTACCTTATTGTGTTACCCAAATTGCACTCTATACTGCAAGCTTGAAAATAACAATACCTATTGAACAAAAGAGGCCCAAAGGGAACCATGTGTTTCACAAAATGCAAAATATCATCAACTGTTAGATACTTCAAAGCTCCTGGGTGGCAAAGACTGTGATTTTATCATTTTAGTACCAATGCTATCTGTATCAGCACCTATAAGTTTGCAAGACTCCAGACCTAGGTGATAGGGATTCAGATAAGAACCTGCTAGGATGCAATCTTGGTCACCACCTTTGTATTGTCCTTACCTCAGTGTTCTTTGGCTCTTCAGTAGGTTTTGCAGGCCTAGAAGCCCTTCTTTCCTTTCCGACCAATTGGAACTTGCACAGTGGTTGAGTACTTCAGCCACATCCTCCGTCTGCCGCAGATAATGTGGAATGCCACCATTCCTGGAGCCGTAGGAGCGCTCAGAGCACACACTTGAGGCATCGCTATTGGCGTCATCATCAGAATACATCCCATAGGGCTCATATCTCCTTCTCACAGGCTTCTTCTGCCAAATCCAAGGAGGGATAGTGGTGATGGAAACAGAAATAGATTTATATCAGCCAAACCAATAAAAATCCACACCAGAAGGTCAAATGTGAAAGATTCTCATATACATAAACTTTCTCTGTGCTTACAGCTAAGGCAGTGAAAACAGAAAAGCATTCCTACAGTAGGTAAAATAAGGAGTAAGCAAAGCAATCATTAGGAGATGCGCTCTACTGGGCCTGGACTTCACATGGTATCAGATAGGCCTGCATGGTAAGCCTCCTAATCTTTCTGCTTCAGCTTCCTCATCTTTAAGGCAGTAATAATTAGTCCTCTTTCACGGGCTTGTTTTGAAGATCAAATAGGGAAACAGACTCAAAAAATCTAGCTCAGCACCTGGCACATGCAGGTATGTATATGCAACAGTTCTCCAATCAAAAGCAATACACCTTGACTATGGCTTATGGGGAAACTTGTTTGAATATTCACACTCCCTTAAGAAAGCCTGAAACTTAAATATAAATGGCAGAAGAATTCTATATAAAAGGTGTCTTATATTATCTGAGCCACAGTTATTATAAAGGACTTACAATCTATCTTAAAGCAAACAGGCTATTTTAAAAAGTAGCCTACGCTATCTACTTCATTAATTTTACTTACCCTTGATATAAAACAAGTTAAAGGCATTAAGTAGCATAGAAATGGCTTTATAAGACTGATAAAATACAATTTCTTTGAAACCATAAGTCACTGGATTAAACCACATAAATGCAATTTTTTAATAATAGAGTGGGGACACATGGACCCCAACTTGCTCAGTGTAGTTCTGCTTTATTCCTATCAGCCCAGTATAGCTACTAATAGCATCGTCTCCTTTTACTTTCTAAATTATCGTGTTTAGATCAGCGGTCCTCAACCGGTGGATCGCGACCCCTTTGGGGGTCAAACGACCCTTTCACAGGGGTTGCCCAATTCATAACAGGAGCAAAATTACAGTTATTAAGTAGCAATGAAAATAATATTATGGTTGGTCACCACAACATGAGGATCTGTATTAAAAGGTCGTGGTATTAGGAAGGTTGAGAACCACTGGTTTAGTTGATAATAGTCATCCTACATAGATGTAAGCTAAATTAAAATAAAAATTTCAAGTAAGTGCATTCGTGAAAATAATAACAATATCAGAGAAGGTACAGGTAGGATTAACAAAGAACACAAAACACTAATAGGAGAAGTACAGCTTAACATAAAACAAGCAACTGAAATATATATGGAATGTGACTGATTCACCACTATTACTAGAGTTAATAAAGATAATTCAGAGTTCATTTACTATATTATTGGTCGTTTTCACTAACTGCTAAGGAAAATATTTTCGCAATAGAAAAAAAAAAGTTGTAAAACAAAAGTTAAAGCACTGGTACCTTGCTCCTGGAGTCTCCTAACAGCTGTAGGCAGGGAAATATTGAAGGGCAGGGAAAAAGCATAGAGAATTAGGTCAGAAGCGTATGTAGGGATTGTTCTTGCAACAAAAGTGTACAGCAAAACATATTTTAGCCAACCAAAAACATCGATTAGCAGGCATTTCATATCAAGCAAATAATAATGAGGAATGCCTTCAAGATGGCATCTCCTACCATCTCTTACAGAGTATTTCAAGTAAGTACTATAAGTCTTTGCCAAAACTCTCCCTACATCAGTGAGGTACATCTCTCTGTGGTCACTGCAAATTCTACTATCTATTGCCATGGTACATAATGTCTGCCCCGGTGTTTCTATTGTTAGACAAGAATTCTGTATCATTCCTGAAGCAGATCACTCTCAAAGATCCCAAGTCGCTTGTACAACAAGCAGGAAGAGTAGCTATTTAATCCAGTGTATGATTATAGCACCAGTGTAACTGGCGCTCAGAGAAAAGGACAAAAGTCCAGACAAAGCTCAAACTACCAACTCCCACCCTCCCTCTTAACAGTAGGCACACAGGCCCTTATGCAGCTCTTTAAAGCATGAAAACACTCCTGTGCCTCAAATGGAAGCCTCGTTGACCCTCTACTTCCTAGAGTCTAAGAAACAGATTCCAAATGCTACAACTTGACTGCAGAAAGTTTCCCTGAATTCTGTTGCAGTCTGAACTCTAGTTCAAGCCACAGAGTAATCACCCTCCACTCCAGATCTGCCAAGTACAAACTTTCTAAGCGTCACACTGGTGAATATAGCTGGCCAAGGAGTCCTGCTGACAGGGAGACCATTCTAAGAAACGGCAAATGGCTTGCGCATGGAATTTGTCACAGAATTCTGACTGACCACCAACAAATGAGGGAGAGAGGGGAAGGAATGCACCATAGCTATAGACATTTAAATTTGGATCAGATGAAACATGGCTAAAGGTTCAAGGTCTGAAGGGTATTATATCCCTTTTCCTTATAATAAATCTTGAAGCAGCAACAGTATGTCCAGAGATACCAGAAACACTTATTTCACACGCAAAGCACACAAGCTAATATGCAAAAGGCCCTATTACTACAAGGTAAAATACATCTTTCAAAAGGAACGTTTGAAAAATGAGTACAAGCTGATTCTACCAAAGAACTTTTTGCTAGAAACACAAAGGAAAGAACCTCTGACGGCTCAATCTTGATTTTCTTAGATTTTACGTTAACGTGAAAGCACACTCTACCATTGCTTTATATCCACAAATAATTGACCTTAGCATTTCAGAAATTTTTCTTATGTAATAGTAACAATAATATGATCAACTTTCACATTGCCGACCTTGCGGTGGTTCTGATCAACACATGCCCTCACCGGCAGCAGGACTCCTCTAATAATGAATCAAGAACCTACTTAAACAACAACAACAATGTGGAGCAAGAAGTGCACATTCTATGACTTCTTATAATGATTTTAGATTGTGGCATTTAAGTCCACTAAGAGTGAAAAGGAAGAAACAGAATGGGAAACAAGAAATGTACAAAAACATGGTTAAAAAGGAAAGAGGAGAATGAGGAGAAGTGCAACGCCCTCTGAGAAGCCCAGTGTCCTCAAGACCCCCGGTCTGCAGGGACACGGTGGAAACTCTGCATGCTGATAATATCTGGAAAGCCAGCTTTCACTTAGACGCAGAGGTAAAAGTTTCGGAAGCAATAATAATATAAATTTCTTCAGTAGCTATACAATTTTAAGGCTGTCAGAGATGACTGCGTACTCAGTGTGGGGCTATTTCTTATTAGCAGTACAAAAAGGTTAAAGCAATTCAGAGACTCATGCGTACAACATGCCTCTTACCAAAGCATCAGCAACTGCGGCTTCAAGATCTGTACTCGTGCTCAAAACTCTCATGGCATTCACAGAGCCAGATACTCTGCCTGGCTGACCAAGCCCAAATCGGTCTGTTTAAAAGAAACACAAAAGCAAACGAGTTATCACTTTACGCCAAGTCCTCTCACTTCTTTGCAAGGGCTCCTGCCTTTTCTCACAAACTGGACTGAATTAACTACCCTTGACTGCGGCAGAGTGTCCATTACTCACATTTAAGACTCTTATGGTAGAGAGCATCGTGTCAGTTAAAATTATAAATAATATTTTATTATCGAAAAGCTTTAAGGAGTAGAAGAGAAAGGGGACTAGCTAGCTCAGTAATGAAGCATTTAGAATAAAGGAAAGGCTAATATCTGTTTTATATGGATGAATCTTCTATAAGGCTACAGATTATAATTTTAGCTCTATCACAACATCATGTAGGTTTTTTTAATCCATTTAGGCTTTTTCTCTGGAGAAAGGTGTCTTTGATGCTTGGTCAAGCTAATTAGAATACTTACTGGCTTGAAAGTTACAAGTTAAAATTTGAAACAAATATCTTAAGTTGAATTGTGTACAAATTTTTACAAGTATCATTAGTGTTTAACTGATGTTTAGTTTTATATACTTATTCATCACTAAACAAGGCTATTTAAAAAGCAATTTTATTTAGATTCTTTAATAGTCATCACAAAAACCCAGTATCTTCACTGCAAAACAGTTATCATTCAGATAATCTTCAATACAAATTTTACCTGAGTCCCACAAAGGATTTATAGACAATAGTCTTCAAACGTGTAAACAAGACAAGAATCCAAAGGCTTTAAAATAAATTTTAGTAGCTGAGACAACTAATCTAAGCATGTTAACTGATAATGAAGATGAATAATTTTCTAGCGTTCAATTATGTCAATTGACCAGCCTTCCTTATGAAGCGCTGGACACTAAGACTACAATAAGAAAAACTCAGTGTTACACTTTGTAAGTGCACCACACCATCTACTGGTGGGAAGTTTCATAGTTAAACTTCTAATGTATAAAAACCTTTGGAAGAAAAACATTAAAATAAAAAATATCTTCTGGATTAGCAAATAAAGCACTGTTTACACAAGGAAAATCTTTACACTGGCCCTAAGCTAGTAATGAAACATTTAGAATAAAGGGAGTACTATTATCTGTTTTATATGAATTAATCTCTTCCATAAAATAATATATTTAAAATTTTGGATCTAGCATATCAGCAATAAAACTGGAATGGTACTTCAAGCTCAAAAGTATGCTTCAAAACGTTAACCCTCTGAACACAGAAAAGGAAAGAAATTAAACGCCGCTAATCAAAAGTCATGGATTTCTAGAGAGAAACAAAACGGTATGCTTTACTATCCCCTTTTTTAATGCACTTGCTTGCCATATTGAATGTCACCTTCCCCATTATGTTTAAGAGGCAATTTAATATGCCATGTAAGCTAAAAGACGGCTACACAACTCCATGGAACAGCTATACATACACATAAATCTGTCAGTTATAATCGGAAACAAGTATCAATTTGAGATTTTGTATAAATAATATAATTTTATAAATGATCTTTATTCAAGTTTCTTTTTCCATTAAAAAAGGGTAGATAGTAGGGAATTTATGAGTAACAGAATGAAAATAATTCAGTTACAAGCCATTTATAAATTACCCAACATAAACTAAAAGAAAGCTAAGTCTTGGAAAAAAAGTACATCTCATGCCAGCCATTCTTGCTCCAGGGAAATACTTTTTTTTCTTTTGACACAAAATTAAAATTGTAAGAACAATGCCATAAATCTGTGCTTCGCAAATGCATACAGCTTTGCTGTACACCGTGACTGCTGATCATCTGATACATATCATAGATCATCATTTGAATATAAAATATTAGGGGGGAAATGTCTGCCTAACTCTAAGTAAAATGGTAAGTCTGCTGCTTTTACCAGACCCAAGTCTGTGTGGTAGTCCAACTGCTGAGACTATTAACTGTTCAACTTTCCAGAACCCACATAGCAAAGCTAAACGGTTCGCTGTCTTCATTTAGAAGAGAACAGAAAACTATCTGCCTCAGTGAACTGACATCAGTTGTCACCATCAACAGTCCACAAATCAGTAGGTTATATGTCTTATTCAATAGACAAAGTTGTAGCTATTAGGGACACAAAAGGAAATCCGTTAAACCCAGCATACTTCTAAGGCGAATTTTGTACTGATATCCATGTGTCCTTTGGTGCTGTTAAACAGCCCACACAGGAAGGTTAGCTTGGCAGGCTACTAAAGATTGGGCCACCTTTAGCCAGACTTGATGATCTGAATCCTGACGTTGTTTTTCTATAAAACATTTTGGAATAATTAAATTGTATACATATAAAATTATACTTGCTATAATTTGAGACATTTAGTACCTCAAAATAATTAGAATCTGATACTGATCAGTAACATTAATAATTGACACATTATTGGGAGCAGCGACTGGCAATTAAGACTGCTGGATGCTATCAGCACCCATTTTCCCAGAGACCCTTCATAATGCCTATTTTTGTTCATATTTTCCTCGGGGAAAGGGAAGGGTATAGTATTTCCTCATTTTTATTTATTTAAACATAAATACGAGTCCTGGAGAAGTAATATTGTCAATGGGCTATAAAGCATCTATGACCTATTAATAGAATTATATAAACATTCAAGAACTAAAAAAATTAAAAAGCACATTGGGGAAAAATAATATGAAGTGCATACATGCCAAGTGCTAGCCAACATTGATGAAAACAAATGTTAAATGGGTATGAAACTAGAACAGATGAAGAAGCCATGTCATGCAGTGAGCACTTGTTCACCTGACTGCCCCACAGATTCAGCAGAGGAGAGAGCACTAGTGGACCTGGAATGACGTCGAGAGGCTGCAGGTAAAAGGAATGGCAACACCCACACGATTAACAAGAAGTATCCAAGACAGAAAATGCCACAGTCCAAAGAAAATACAGGGACTGTTACCAACCAGGCCAAGTTTTCTCATGAAAAGAAATGGTGCTGGATATAAATGGATAGGAAGTATAAATTCCTGAACTTCCATGGGAGCCTGCAGGCTCTCTTACAGCTATGAAACACACAGGCACAACAAGGCACTCTTCAAGGTCTGCCCAACTAAGTATGTACGCATCCACCAACTTGGAGTCGGGTTAATATTTACACCATGACACGACATCAGCCATTATGGAAATATGCAACATGAAGGGCCCCGGGAGTCCCTGAGCACCATCCAAATCCCAGACTGGAACAGCAGTATGATGGATAATTAACTCAGCTTATGAGATGTTTCATCAGTGTGCGATGCATATGCAACCATGCACCAACAACAAAAGCATAGAAGTTCGTTCATAATGCTCTTCGAACAGAAATAGAAGTATGGTAGCTTAACCACTGGTATTCCATTGTCTCCAGTTGGATTATAATGGCCATTCAAAATTTTAAGTTGTAGAATCTACCTAACATGTACAAATACACTAGTTATTAAGTGACTACTTGTTTAATTACTGTTTAATTATTTAACTTAGTCAAAAAATGTTATTACCTTTCTTGGACAGGCACTTGCAACAATTATGAGCACTAGCTTCGCAATACCACTATGCGCAAACCTCGGTTGGACCACAACTAGCTTAGGACCTTCAGCAAAGAATTAAACCTCTTTGTTTCATGTTTCCTGGACTGTAAAATGGTATGAACAATGACACTTACCTCCGGGGAATTACTAAAAGGATTAAATGTGATATGCATATAACAGTGCAGGGCACACAATCAACATCAGAAGTAACCATAGCAGTTAGTGGTGGTGGTGCTGCTGGTGGGAGTGATGGCTAAGAGTAAACTCCAATTTAACATGAGAATTGTATTTTTTCAGAAAGTATTCATAGCTCATATAATTATTCATCAACTTAAAAAATAGGTGCTAAATTGTATGATGTGAAAGATATTACTTTTAGAAATACTTATGAACAATAATTTTATTAAAACATTTATTTTACCAGTTGCATGTACCCCCCCCACTTTTTTTTAATTACAGAAAGTGCAAGAAAATATACTTCCATTCCCTATGCAGAAAAGAAAATGGTGATTCTACATGGGCTTACCACAGCAATACTGAGTAGTGCTATATTCCCCTAGCAATACTAAAATATCCTGTAACACTTGTACATTTCATTGTAAGATACCCAAGCCTCAAACTCCTCACTAGAATACATATGCTCTTATCGCTTTATAAAATATGCATACCCGTGTTATATATAGTACTAAACAGCCAATATTACCTGGTCACTAGGAAAACATTTTCACCAGCTTATAAAATAGAAAAGAAAATGCCTCCTTCCTCAAGATACACAAAAATCAAGACAAACTGTCAATCTCTAACATATACGGGGGTATCAAAGAAACCCAGAATTCCCCCACCCCAAGCTATGTATTTTTTTTTAAAACAAAATAACCTTATCCAAGTACTCTCCATTTCACTTAATACATATGTCAAATCTGCCATTCCATTCTCAGAAACATTTTTCAAACTCATCTGTTTGAATGGCAGATAGTACCTCCCTCGTTTTTTTCTTCATGTTTCTATGTAGTCAAATCACTGTCCTTTCATGTCCCTCTCCCTTCGCAGAAACAAAAATAAGTCACACAGAGCAAGGTCAGGTGAGTAAGGTGCGTGGGGCAAAAGAGGCATGCTGGTTTTTGACCCAAAATGGTGCACTGGGATGGCTGTGTGAGCAGGGGCGTTGTCATGGTGGCAAAAGCCATCAAATCAGGCACCCTGTTAACACAATCTTTTCAGAACTTATAAATAGAAAGTCTGATTAACAATCTGACCTGGTGGATAGAACTCCATATAAATGCACTACGAGTCAACATTTTCATCCACTGGGGAAGTTGACGGACATCCAGAACAACGAGGTTTGTCATTAATCGACATTTCACCTTTTGTGAAATGAGAAAACCACTCGTACACTTGAGTTTTTCCCATAGGATTGTCCTTATGAGCTGTGTTCAAATCACAACACTTTCTGAACCATTTTTTCCTAGCAGGAAACAAAATTTCACAGCCTCACACTGTTCTCTTAAATCGGCCATCACAAAAACGAGGTTCGAGTGAAACCGCTTTTATGAAAAAATTCACTGTGACCAGAGAGAACCTCCCAGGTGACACCACTGGGTGCACTAACTCAGAGTGAGCTGCTCAATGCTCACCTACTGGGAAAAATGTGTACTACGTAAAGCTCCGCCCAGCTGAGCTTTCCCCCCTTTTTTTCCTTTCTTTTTTGGGGGTACCCCCCTTGTATATAAAATGATCACTTTACTTAAATGAGAAAGTTGACAAAATATTTTCGTAAGACTGAAGCATATTATTAATTTAATGTAAAAATACATTAATGTCTTATCTTGATACTTTAAACTGAAACAGCCTTTAGCAACACCTGATCTGTAAATTATTTATAAATTCAGCCTTCCATTGTTTTTCAACAGTAAATCTGTCTCATAGTAAGTCGTTCCTTATACTCATAAGCAAACACGCAACAATGGAATCCACGTAAACCCACTCAAGCCAAAGCCTGAGTCACAGAAGAGCCCTAGACCCCCTTTGTGCTTCATCAAGAACTCTCGGTCTAGCCACACATCTGCACACTCTTTCATTCCTGGCTGTCTTGTTACTCAACATTTAGCATTTGTAACCATAAAAAAAAATCTGTATGTCTGGCAGTATAAACACTGAAGTGCGAGGTGAGAGTAACACAGATGTGAGAGTTGAAGGTACTGGTCAACTTGCCTGGTCTCTGGTTCTCAGTGGTTTCGCAGTGAGACATGTAGTTATGTAATAAAGTAATTTCCACTATGTGATGCTATTAGAGACCTCGTCCATTTGTGATCTGGTGTGGTTATCCTCTGTTTCCACTAATGCCAATTTTCTCCTATTGGCTTGGTCTTTGGAACCTAACCATGTTGATAAGTGAGGAGAAGGTGGATATTCTCACTCCAAAAAAGTTTAAAATAACTTTAGAGTAGAACCGGATACATGAAATTATATATATGTGTGTATATATGCAGAAACATAATTATCTTCATTCTCTTTTTTAAAGTGAAGACTGGCTGCAATAATATTCTAATGAGCATTGACATACTATCTTAAAAATTTGCAAACGGGATGTAAAATTATTATTAAAATGAATGTGAAGGCAGAGGGACCCACTACAGTCTCTGGAAGGAAGAGCAAGGCACACACGTTCTGCTGAGAACAACAACCGTCTAATGGCTTAGTTTTGAAAGCCCAGCCCGAGAACTGGTGTTTCCGAAACATCTCGAGCACTGTCTTAGAGCCAAACTGTGGAGCAAACTCGCAGAAAGAACATTTTGAGAAACTAACGATACAAAGAATTATCAGAACCATTTTCACGTGAAGCAGGATAATAGATGAGCTTGGAAATCAGACCTGGATTCAAATTCTGTCTCCATCATTTGTTAACTGTGTGACCTTAATGCTTAATCCCCCACAGTTGCTCAATCCCCCTAAGATCCTGTTTCATCATCTGTAAAAGAGGGATAATAGTTGTCTCAGGGTGAATCAGGACACAAAAGGGATTATACCTGATGACTACTTAGAATCATAACGGGTGCACATGCGTATTGTCGTTGCACTTGCTGGATACAAGTTTGAGAAACTGATTTAACCAAAAAGGAGGAAGTGTGGTATATCCAGAGAGAGGAGTGTTGTTTGGGTTACAGGAGCAGCCACACGTGATGGTACAGTGTGCTCGGAAAGAGGACACAACTTCAGCTGAGTCTTCTGCCTTCCCAGAAGTCATTCTACATGCCATTCAGCATTCCGGTTCCTCACCGAGACAATTAATCAGATCTATCTCAACCAAAGAAAGTGAAATTCAGCGAGACCAGATAGATCATTCAACTCTGCAGGGTTCCATTATGGTGTTAAGAATGCAGCACACCTTGTCTGGTCCACAGACCACATGCTGGACTTAAAAACAAACAAACACTATAATCGTTAAATACTGTAATAAAAACTGATTTAAAAATAAAAACATCAAATTACTCTGGAAGACCAAAAAAAGAGCAATGACATGAACAGGCTTCAATAAGAGGCTGTTTGCAAGGTGACATACAAAAACATATATTTAAAACACCTTCATTTAAAGGGGAAAAATCCTCATTGCCACTCATGCAGTGTGGAGACTTAGATTGATTACTTTAGTTTGCTGTGGAAGCAATTGCCGGTTAGCAGCAAATGAGATACCCCACTCAAGTTCTCATGTTCATCGGCATCTTCTTTTGTTTTGGTTAAGCATTTTGGGGGAGCTCGTACAGTTATTATAACAATTCACGATTCAATTAGCTCCAGCATAATGGAACAACTGCTGCCACCATCAGTTTCAAAACACTTTCTTCCCGAACTCTTTGATATCAGCATCTTTTAAGTCAAGTGCCAAGAGTCATCTAACACAGCAGAGCGTATGCAACTGTTTCACCTCCTCTTTTCAGAAGCTCATAAAGAATATGGTTCATAAAGAAATATAACTAGGTTTGGATTAGCCGTGGGCGGCGGGGTAGAAAATGTATGACATTAGAAAGAGACAGAAGCAACATTAAGACTTGATTTCTACTCTTCATACTTATCAAGAGGAAAATATATATCTATAAGCACTTAAAATGGCAAGAACTAAAATATAATTAATAAGTCTATAGCAGGGGTCCTCAAACTACAGCCCACGGGCCACATGCAGCCTGCCGAGGATGTTTATCCGGCCCACCAGGTGTTTTTGCCGCCACTGCCTATCCTGCTTAACAGCTGACCCGTCCAGTGTGCATAGGAATTTGTTCATAGTTTTGTTTTAAACATAGCCCGGCCCTCCAACGGTCTGAGGGACAGTGCACTGGCCCCGTTTAAAAAGTTTGAGGACCCCTGGTCTATAGAAAGCTTTTATTTTTGCTGAAGGCACGTCTTGATAGCTTGCTTAAGGAATTAAGAATTTGTACTAGATACAAAGGTATACCATGTGTTCCTTTTAAAGAAAGACAGAATTATTAAAAGGAAAACATGAATAAAATGATAAATTTTCTTGAATGCTCTGTATCACATTTTCTTGAATGTTATTATTGTTACAATACAAATTCTGAATATTAAAAAAATGAAGGGGCCAGGGGTTGAGAAGGCATCCAATCCAACTGATAGCTGGCTGGTGATCTGAGATGCAGCTCATAGAATACCTCATAGCAACTAAGTACTATAATATTTTGGTTTTAGTATGGCACCAGGTTACAAATATTAAATACCCTACAGATCTTAGGAATAATTAATTATCTACATAATTAGTAATGTTAAATTTTACATTTAGTCAATTTAAAAAATTATTTTTAGATCGCCTTAAAGAAAGCTTACTTAAAAGCCATCTAACATCTTCGTTCAACTCTCGTTCATGCCACTTTTTACATTAAGGTCTTTCCTTATTTTAGTGAAAAACATTTCTTTTTCTAAATGATACCAATGTAGTACTTTTGTTTCTTCTTTAATATGGGTTTATCTCTGGCAAAATTAAGGGAAAATGTAGAAGTGCCAATGACCAAGGATAAATTTTACATTAATTTTGCTTTTAAGCAATAATTATCTACAGTAGAACTTTGCTTTCTACAAGAAATTACCAAAGAGATGGGCGTGACTAGTAGCAGTGGTCAAAAGAGACAACAAACAGTACGCAGTGAAGTGGTCCCTGTCATATATAGAAAAGGAAAGATGCCCAAATCTAAGCATGCAGAGGGGGATGGTCACTAAGGAAGAGGAAAAGGAAGAAAGGATCACGAAGACAGTGGAAGAGGGAAAGAAGGTCATTCCACCTAGCAGTGTCTGGGAAAGCATGTGGAGCAAAGGGAAGGGACAATTCACTCCCAGAGCCGCCTCCTCCATGTACTCACCAAGTGGAGGGAAGCCCCGAGCAGGGCTCGTATCTCGGCTGCTCTCACGGCTGGTATCGCGGCTGCACCCCTGACTCATGCTGGGTCGAGGGATACGGCTGCTCCGTGCTAGTGTGCAGCATGAGGGGTTTCAGAGAAGGTGAACAAGTTTAATGAAGATAGACAAACTCACAAAACGTCAGTCACATTATGTTCATGTAATCATGGCATTGTCGACGCTGGGAGTGCTATCAACCACGAGGGCATACTGACTGATGGGCCAACAGCAGCGGGTCTGCATGAAACTGATCATGCTCAATGCCTCAGAGCACTAGCAACGCTAGATGAGAGTGAAACAACACCAAAATGTGAGAAAGGAGATCTTACTAAAGAATAAACTGGCATGAAAAAGTACAAAAGGAAAAAGTCTCTTAGACATTATCTAGATTTCTCTACAGGAAGATAAAAAACTGAATTCCCTTTCCTGGTTCTTGGATTATGCAATTTGGATTGCCATATAATCAGAATAAAAGGCTAGGTAACTAAACCCCACAAACTTACTTGATTAAATGGAAGAGGATTCACTTCCCCCAGCCCATCTTTTCTTTACAAAGAGAAGTCATGAAGGCTAATAATACAACTAGCACAGCCGCCCTTTCAGATAAATGTGCAGATGATTCACATAGAGATAATTATTTAAACCAATACCTGTAAAGAGTTGGGGCTGGTACTGAATCTACTCTTGGCTTTTAATAGGGAATCAAAAAAGATTTGCCTATGATCCCTAACCAACCACTTCATGAACCTTGTCTGAGAATTCTAACATTCATCTTGAGAGATCTCTCCACTGACCTGAGAATAATGAATTACTGTATGATTACCTATGTAAAGTTTTGTTTCCCCAATTGTAAAACACTGAGATTATAAGATACATGAATAGCGTAATAATAGACTCTAATAATAGTTTGGCCCCAAAGTTCGGAAAAGATTACTTGTTCCCTGATTTAGTTTGAGCAAACAAATACAGCACTTAAAAAATACTTGGAACTGGCTTTGCATGTTGAATGCCTGTAGATGGGATGCTTCACATAACAGCTGGAGTGGGCAATATTTCCTTCTCAAGAGGACCTACGAAATTCTTGACTGGATAAACGTATCTTTCGCTCAGAGATTTTGGAAATAAGAAACTTAATGCACTATGTGCTCTATGATGTAGGGAGCATTATCTATCGTTTCAGAGCAAAAATACTGCCAAGCTGTAACAAGTATGTCTTAGAAACTAGAAGCATGGAATTCCATGATGAGGGACGTTAAGGTAAGGAACCAAAGCAGAGTCCTCTTGGGCTAAACTGCTCAGCACTGGGGTTGAAATAGAGCCAAAAAGTAGGTAAGTGGATCTGGATGCTCAGGTCTGCCCTGGCGAGGAGAGGTTGCGCACGGGAATGCAATCTGGGCCATCTGTTCAAACAGGACTTCTGTCACGGTTCTAGATATTCACAAAGTATTGCCTTTATTTTGCCTTGGTGGTTTAGATGCCCTCAGTTTTCATGGTAAGTTGCGGTGACTATTCGTTGCGGTTCTTGGTAACATTCTAACAGGTGCTACAGTAAAAGCACAAAAGAGCTGACAAGTTTCTTCTGATCCCCAACAATAAATGAGCATTTTCCTGGAAGCCATAAAGCAATCCTGTTTACCCTTTAGGACCACAATCTGTATCATGAACTGACCTCTGTACTTCCATGCAAACTCACTGGACCTCAGTTCCTCGTTAGGAAAATCAAGAATAGGAAGAATCACATCATTTAAATGAGAAGTGCTCTATAAAATCACATACATATATAAAAATGTCTTGAGTTCCTTGCAGAAAAGCATTATGTGAACATCTTATTTCCTACCTACTCTAAAAGATGACTAAAAAATAATAAAAACCTGTTCTGGCAGCTTTTTATATCTGTGAATGCTTAGGTGCGCATTTTCTTATAGTTCTTGCTTGATACTTGGTTTTCATCAGTTACCACTCTCTTCTTTGAATTCATATACATGCTACATGCAACCACAGGAAAACTCTTCTTTTCTCTGGGCAGCACTACATTATGGAGACAATACAGAACCTCAGCAGAGTGAGCAGATAATGTTTTAGGATAACAATATGCACAAATGCTGGACAAGGTTTACCCTCCTGGTATTCCACAGAAAGTGACCACTCATGTTTGTTGGTTCCTTTCGCTGCGGCTCAGTAAGTAGCTGCATGCTCAGAAAGGAACCCCTTCTGTTCACAATTGTGTGTAAATTTGCGCATAGCTTCACACCTCCAAACGGTTATATTAAAACTCTCAATGTTGGCTCATAAGAAACACAAAAGGGAAAACTACCACATGCAAAGACTCGTCTACAAAATCTAATCCAAGAGGCAGGAGGAGTCCCGGGAGCACAGTGGTTACGGGTCTGGATGTTCTCTGAGGGCCGTGGTTAGACCCACCAGTTAGCTGTTCCTCAGGAGAAAGAGGTGGCAGGCAGTGTACTCCCATAAAGACCGGCCATGGACACCCCACAGGCAGCTCTACTTTGTGCTACTCAGGGTTGTTATAAATAGAATTGACAAAGCTAACTCATATTTAAAACATACCGCATATACTCGCATATAAGCCATCCTGAATATCAGCCAAGGCACCTATTTTACCACAAAAACTGCATTACAAATGTGCTAAAAAAAATTGACTTCTATACGAGTATATACACTAAAACGTTTCTCTGGAAACTGTGCATCTTGGTCTTACATAGGGCAGCCTAATTTCACAGCTGAAACACAATGTTATTAATTCTTAACTTTTTCAAAGTCTTTTTAGCCAAAAAACTTGAAAACCAAAGAACAAAAGGCAAAGATGACAGCACTTTCTAAATACAATTTCTATAAATATTGACACTTAAGTGTTTTTACTCATGTGTCCTCAAAGGAACACCCCAACACACGCAGACACGCAGTCACGACACACAGACACAATGACACACAGATGCAGACACACAGACAATGACGCACAGACGCATGGACACAATGACACAAATCACTGGTATATTTTGTACACGTGACCGGGAAGCATACGTGGGAATAAAGTACCAGGAAAGGGTACCATCTGGTGTTATTTTGTTTCTTATCATCAACAGGAATTACAGCCTATCTTGCTTAAGAAAGTTTAAATGTTAAGTAAGAAAAGTTGGGGCATTGTTTTCTAATCACAAAGTAAAAACAAATTTGATAAAGAAAAATAATTTCAAGAAAATTTAAAAAAGAAAAATAATTTCAAACAAACAGAAAAGCATGATTTGAATAAAATGTGAAATGTAGATAACTAGATTCCCCCCAACTTCAGTGCAAATCCTAAACTTAGCTGAATTATTAATGAAACTGTTGTGCTAGAGAGTATAGAAATATTCTTTAAAAATACTACCCCTTGTCTTAAATAATTATCTAACTTTGCTACTCAATGAGTTAAATCCTTGGCGATATAGTCATATTTCTGATATGTACTAGTTGTTTCTATTAGCATACATCTATTATTTTAAAAAAGCACCAATATATATGCCGCCGCTCCCCCCACCCCAATAAATAAAATAATCTCTAAGCAGTGCCGTGGAGACAAATGAGTAGAAATTTTAATGATATATTTCTCTCTGTATGCACATAAAATGCAGACACTTGAATAAAATATCTGCTTTAATCAGAACTGTATGCATAGCCTTAAAACTGTGCAGGTAATTGATACTTCTAATGAGTACCAAGGAATAACTTTTTCTCCAAAATAACATTTCAATTAGCAACTCGTTGGAAGAGAAGGGCTCCTATTTTTCTTATGATTCTGATTACACAGGACCTCCTCTTCATAAATTTAGAAAATGCTGTTTTTCAACTACATGAAACACAAGCTGCATTAAGACCACAGAATACCAGGTGTTATAGGTAAAGTAGATAACTTGGGTTATTTTCCATCTTCAAGTAAATAGCAAAAATAAATAAATAAAAAGTAAAGTATCTAAAAAGCAAAGTAGTTTTAGAGTATGACATGTGGACTGAAAACTTCAATAATTAGCTGAAACTCCACACCTAAGACTTGAAATCAAATGCATTTTTCAAGCAAACCCAGTTCTAATCACAGATCTGTTATACCATCAAATCTATATGTGAAATTTAGATATTCCAGCCATCATATTCTCATTGACATCCAGCTCAGGGACTATAGTACAAAATGCCAATAGAAGGAAAGCCTTGTGAAGAATTAACAAAACCACTGTTTGTTATACTTTTTACTTACTTTGGAAACGTTCCTTCAAACCAAATTATTTCCACTCTACTTCCTAAACATTTGTACCTATCTCCTCTTAACACTTCTCCAATTGCCATCTCACTGCGGCAGTCTGCCTCTGAACGTGAGTCTTTCTTGGGTAGATTCTACCAGTCCTCTGCTCTCGGGTCTTTCACTCTTTTATCTGTGCGGTCTCCAAACGAACCACGGTAGCCTCAGATGCATTATAGCCCTCTCAACTGGGTGCTTCTGCACACTCCAGTGTTCTCACTGGAAAACCTTTCTTCTCATCTCTGCCTGCATTTTATTAAAACAGAGCCTGTTCTGAGAAGGCTCCCCTATCAGACAGTCGAGAGGATGGTTGTGTGCCAAGTGGACTAAAGAAAAGCAAACACAAGCCAACTGTCCTCAAGTGGATTCCAACTCAGCCATCCAGGACCGCTCAGAGTAAAACTGTCCCCTAGGGTCTCCATCATAATGGTAGCAGAATGCCACATCTGTCTCCCATGGCAGGGGCCAAAAGACACTCCTTTCTGTAGTTCCAGTGCCCCCAATACAGTATTTGTCATATTTTCTTCTCTCCCCAGTGAACTACAGCTCTTTGAAGTAAAAAGCCACACTTCTTTTTACCCATCTTCTAATTCTAAGACCAACTAAGTATCTGGCATATCAAAGTAAACATTCATAGAAAAAGGGTTGAGATAAACGCTGAGTAAGGCAGATCAATAGAATGTAAGAATTGTATAATACTCTTATTTTGTACCATGAGTAAAGTTTTATCTACAATGAAATAGAGATGTAGGAGTATAAACTTAGAGTTTCACAATATATCATTAAAGACTTCTCATTTTTAATTTTTAAAAAAGAGCATATGAATTAGATTTTAATAGAGTAAACTATCTTTACAGTAGTAAAATGCTTAAAGTAGTACATAAACTCAACACACCAATACAAAGAAAATAAATTCTGTAACACATAAAAGAAACACATTTAGTTTTCAGCTATTTCTAGTTTTTATGTCTGAACAAAACTCTATAAAGAATAACTATATACATATTTGTAAATAGCATATGTATATAGTTAAGTAACTATACATACACAGACTTGGCCATATACATTTCACTATAGTTTTCTCTACGTTAAAGAAGATCAAAATAACACTAAATGAGGTCCTACAAAATCGCATCTGAACATTTACACAGGTTACTGCTATTACATAACAATCAATTAATAGAAAATCCAAAGCAAGATTGCTTTTAATTGTTGAAGAAAAAATCATGCCCTTTTATACAATTCTTATATTTTGCAATTAACTATAAAACACAAGAACCTATAATGATTTTACTTCCTTTCTAGGGACTCACCCAACAGCTCTGATTGCAACCTCTCCCTATAATATGTGTAAAGTAAAAATGGAAATGTCTTTTTAACACAGGCAAATAAGATATTTCAGTTCAAAACAGACCTTTATTTTCCTATTAGAAACCATCATGAAAATGTGGTAATCACTGCAGCCAAGTTGGTCACGGTACTACAGAGTGTTTGAGGATCCTTACCTAATCCCATTCGGCTTGGACTTGTTTCTCGGCTACATCCCTGACTCCTGGGAATCTTGCTTCGTTTTTCTGAAGAGGGGGTCACAGGTGGGCCTCTGGAGGACCCTCCAGAAAGTCCACCGTAACCACTGCCCAGCAGTTTTCCTGGGGAGCTTGACCGGCTACCAGCTACAAATCAAGTGGGGGGAAAAAATGAGTAAAAAATGTAAATTATGGAATATTAGAGGCATCAAAATTTCCATGAAAAAATATAATTAAAACCCAATTTTCTGGGATTTCCCACAAACTTTTAAAGGCCCCTCAAAAATTATACCGATTCCAGAAGCTAGTTTACACATTAATTTAGATCAGCCATTAAGAATTTGATACTATTCTTTTAAATACATGGAAACATAAAAGAGTGTCCCTGGCACAAAGACAAATTACTGGAGTTCTAAAAATGAATAGTATTGAACAAAAAGGACAGATTGAGTAGCAAGCGCACTTGTTCTACAGTTAATCTCTACAAATAAATATAACTGCTGGAAAAATATCATCATTCGATGGGGACAATGGGCCCCCAAAGCCACATTAATCTCACAAATGAAAGAACAAGGGTAGGAGGGATACAGTACTCAGAAATATGGCAAACAAAAAACACAAAATAAGATAGTAGTAAACAAGCTCAAACATAACAGTAATCATAAAAAATGTCTACATTAAATGTATTTGCCAAAAAACAGAGATTTATGATTTGTTTAAAATTATGAAATCAAATTCCATCAAATGTTATCAAAAGAGGTAAACAACACACTTAAAACAAAATGAAATAAAAAGTAAAAGCATTTGAAAAGGACAAAATATATTTCACATTAAGAAACTAATTCTCCGTGAACATATAGTCACAAATCTTTACGCTCTAGTAATGTTACTTTAAAATATATATGCATGAATGATAGAAATAGAAGAGACTGATAAAGCAGTGAGAATTCAAAGTGGCATACATGTACATATATAATAAACACACGTTTTTTATAGCCTACAAATAATATTCTCATTTCTCACATGAATATTACAAAAACTGATTCTACACTAAGCCTCAAATTGAAGAAAAAAACAAAACCCTACAAAAGCAGGAATCACAAAGCACATTCCCTGAAAACAGCTGGTAATTTTATTAATAGCCAGCTGATATACTACATACTTATATAATAAATATTCAAAATTTATTTTGAAAATTTAGTGGTGGGACAAAACTTTCTCTCAGAGAAAACCTTATTTTGAAAATCATGATAGCAAAAACCAGAATGCACTCATGTACTTATATATCAGATCTCCCTAAACACAGGCAATATCATACAATGTAAAGTATATTTTTCTATGCTAGAATAGAACGACTTAGCAGTAGTAAAGAAACTTTAAGAGAGCACTTACCTGGAAATAATACAATAATTAATAGATAGAGATAAGAAAAGTACTATCATTCAGATCACAAACTTAGGTCACTATTCACAAACATTAATGCTTTACAATGATTTATAATTTAAAGTAAGACTCAGTGAAAATTCTCCAATGTATACAACCATGAAGAATGTGTCTCGGGACCTCTTAATTTTGCCATATAATAACAAAAAGGAGGGGAAAAAATTTCAAACAATAATTTGAACAAACAGAAAAATGCAAAAGGATCAACTAAGCTCGTGGTAAAGAGAGAAATGATTATTATGCAGAAACTTGGGACATGGAAGTATAATCTGTAACACCCCCCCGCCAAAAAAAAGGGGGTGGGAGCAAGAAGAGGGTGTCTTACCACCAGCAGGATTGGCAGATCTGGATCCTTGATTATGGTAGCAGACCAAAGGACAGGCAAACGTGGATTAAAAACAATAAGACAATGCAGGTCAGCATGCAACACAACACGAGTGCCTGTGTTCACAAACACACAGTTTTTATCTGCTTCTTCTTGCTCTGCTCTTGTATTTTTGCTTATTTAAACTTATCATACTAGATTGGTTTTATAAGGGGGGGTGTTCAAAAGTTCATAGAGAAATAGAATTTAGAAATAATAGTATTTTTTCACACACTTTTTGAAGCCTCTGCTATTTCCTATCTGCTTAGGAAACACTTTCTAAGAAGCTGCCATGTGTCAGGGACAGCCTGGAGATGTGGAGGAAAGTAAGGCCAGTGTTCTCCTGGAGCAATCACAGACGTGACTGCATCTTACTCATCCGTGTGCCACGGTCCCCAAGACAGAACCTGCCACAGAGGTAAGGGTTCAATGAACAATTGTTTTTCAATAAACATTTATAAACTGAAAAACAATTATAGAGTACTCTGGCCTCCATTAGCAAATGTTTGAAATCAGAGGGGTTTTTCAAAAGATTCATGGAAAAATGGGATTAAAAGATAATGGAGTTTTCCACAAACTTGCTGCCCCTTGCATGTACATTATTAAGGGTTCTAAAATGAATACTAACGATTTTACTTACTATTAAAAGACAGAACTATCAGTTTCATTTGTAACCTATATAAGTAGGCTATTTACCTATTAAAATCATTTCTACAAATATTTCATTGAAATGCCTAAGCTTATGGGCCAGTCTCTTGGGCGATCTCCTTTCTTTAGGTGTAACTTAGTACGTAGAAAAGACTGCAAAGGGTTTAAAGTGAAGCCCCCAAGTCGGGTGCATTATTTCTCAAAGAGTTCAAAGTTCTACCACTATATTCAGTCCCTACTAGAAAAAACACTTAACTTTGCCACATCCTAAGCAGAGGTAACATCTGTAAAGCTACAATATACAGTACTGACCCAGCTAGTGACAGGACTCTGGTGAAGACAAGCCAACACACAGGAGACCTGCAGAAATGTGGACTACTGTTTGACCTTCGTACTTCAAAGGAGGAATGGACACTGAAGAGAAAGGGTTAGTTTCTTATTTTTGTTTTGCTCTAAATTCCACTCCATCGGATTATATTGACCCATATGCTGAGTACTTAACATTTTTGTTTGAAATAAAACCTGAGCCCTATGACCAGAATACCTTGCTTTTTGAGGTGACCTCGTAACCCTATTGGGACTTTTTTCTTTTTTCCCAACAGCATTTGCTCATTTCACATCTGTGTCACATTTTGGCTCTTCTTACATATTTCAAATTTTCATAATACCATTGTACACTAAGATGACAGTATAAGTCTCTTTTCTATACACTGGGAAACGAAAAAAAACCCATGTCATTCACCTGTGTTATTTGCGTTACTGCAGGGTCTGGAATAGAGCCCACAGCATCTCCAAGATAGGCCTGTATTAAACTGGTCTACGTCTCATGGAAGCACTAGGATTTTACAGACTCAGAATTGGGGTGCTATTTCCAAGGTAAATTTTGAGGTGCACCTGCTCACTGAATCCGAGGGAAAATGCAAGTGAGTATTATAAGAAATGGAGAATCCTTGGACTTAATAAACGTAATCTATATTGATTTATATCTCTCATCCTGTAAGCTCATTCCTCACCTTCTCTTCTGAACTTATTGAAGTGGAGAGTGATAAAGAGGGAAATAACAAGGCGCCCAATCTCACCTGGACTAGGAACCTGTGGGTCTGAAGCAATTATGGCGATAAAACCTGCTAGGTTTGTAATTTTTATTAAACTCTCATGATAGTTCTATGAGGTGAATTTTATTATTACTCATTTTACAGACGATGATGTGAAAGCTCAGAAAGGCTGAAAGATTTGCCCACTAGCACAGCAGGACCAGGATGAAGGTTCAGACTTATCTGGACCTCAAGCCCATGTTTCCTGTACATTACACTATATAAGGTAACTTGTCCCCAAAAAGCATCCTGCAGCTCCATGCAAGGCAGCAATCTGATGGCCCTTAGGTTTTTAAAGATAAGCACGACAGTTATCAAAGGAACATGAAAAGCTCCACACTTCAGAAAGAAGTGCGAAGGCCCAGGTCCTATGAGAAAATCTAAGGTGTGGGTGCAAGCACTCATCGGCTCGGCAGTGCTTTGAGGAAGAGACTCAGGAGACCAAGGAACTCCTGGGAAAGGGGAGACTCTCCCTCCACAGTACTACCACTGCCTTTGAGAGCTTGGGGAGCCAGCTCCATTCTACATGGAAAGGGAACAAGACTCTCAAACTTTCATGTAACTGGTGCTTAAAATATATTCATTCCAACTTTGACTGCTTTCAGGGCTGATGCTATTCACCATTCAAATGACTGAACATATACAGAGAAGCAATGTTGGGAGCAAAGGCAGCTGAGAAAAGCAGAAGTCCACACTGGCAAGAAAAGAGGAGCAGGCAGCAAAAAATGCCAGAAAGATTCCTGACAACAGAAAAATGTGCCATATTTCAGACGTTTTCATTTCAGGCTTGAGAAGCAGTGGAAAAAGTCCACTTTTATGTAAGTAATGGTACACAATTAAAATCACACGGAGAGATGACATATAGAAACATGTTATGGATTGAGTTGTGTCCCACCAAAATGTGTGTTGAAAACCTAACGTCTATACTTGTGGTTACAATCCCATTTGGGAACAAGTGGGATTTGTTGCTATGGTAATGAGATAGGACTGATGGAGGGCATAGGTTCTCAAACTTACTTGGCCTGCTGCCCACTTAAAAAAAAAAAAAATATATGCTTGGCCCCTAGCAATTAAAGCCTTTTGTCCTGTGGTCCATAATTCAAGGTAAAACATAGGTGTCTGCTTTGCAGTCTCCGTGGTACTCCGCGTGCCACCCCGAGGCGGGGTTGTCTACTTCGGGAACACTCGTGTAGAAGGTATCTTCAGTGGGTCTCTTTTGAGCTATAAAAACATCTCTTTACAACTCAAGAGACCAAACAAGCAAGTGAAAGAACAGGGCCAAGCCACACGGAGACCTTCAAGGAACCGGAAACAAGTCGAAGGGAAAGCGACTTTGCTCAGAGAGAAAGCCCTTCCCCTGGCGCGGCTCCCTGAATTCAGCCTCCCAACCCAGAGCAAACACATTCCTTTAAAGACAGCTCCCCCAGCAAACATCAGGATGACTCCTGTTATCTCAGGGTCATAAAAACGTGTTTCCCCCTCAGCTCAATGTATAACATGCACACACATGCTTCAAAGAGCAACGACTAAGCAGGGTATCGTAAACTTTTCAACTGTAGAGTGGTGTTGAATAAGATAGACTTCTTACGCTGGGACTGAGAAACGACTTTAGCTCGACTTCGGCCTCGATTATCAGAAGGCGTAGAGGCAGCACTGGTGGTGCTCCCAGAGCTTTGCCGTCTCGTGCGGATCCGACCTGGAGGATACAAAACAGTGTTTCCATGACGTCTTCAAACGAAGCATGACCTCATACACAGTGCACACCGAGAACTGTAACCGGGCCAACCACATGGGAGGGCAGATGCTTCTGTGTGAACATCAGTCGTGTTGGCTGTGCCACATCTGCCACCCCACCCCAGCCCCAGCCCCGGGCTACAAAGTGTTCATGGAAAAATTACCTTCCTTTTTATTGTACACACATACCGAGTAGGATCTCATTTTAAAGAATGTATATCAACTATTTCCTAGACTACTAAGATGAAAATTAAAAGAATTGATATTATGCGTCCTGAGAACTGTTGACCTAAAATGAATTCAATGTTATAGGGATTTATATTTTTAAAATGTCATTAAGAATAAAGCAATCATAATCCCTAATTATTAAACTGTACAACTATTAAAATGAAAATAAGTTCAGGAATGCAAAATTATTGGTTATAAGAGTAGTTTGATTAGGTATCAGACTTTTTGGGTTTGTTTTGTTTGTTTATAAATACAGGCTATTTTGGTTTTAAGAGTGTATAAAATAACTCTTCTTCCATAAATTCAACCAAAATAGCAATCTGATAGAGCAACATCAATCCATGTGAATTCTTGCTAGCGTTTTATATTGCTCAAAATCACTGCTACCCCAAAATCTACCAAAATATGGAAAAAAGTAATGCAAGAGAAAAAAATGTTCTAAGGCATAAAAGAAAAGAGTAAGGACCATTAAAAGCAAGCACAACATTAGAAACAAAACTAAAATGAAATCTACAATGTAGGAAGAACAATTCTGAAAGGAAGGGTGAGCACGGTTGTGCAACGTGAAGAACGGAACCAACGTCAATGATTCCACGTGGAACAAACGCTAAATAAGTGTTAAATTCTAATGTCCACATTTGCAACAGCAAAGATGCTTTTAAAAAGTAAATCTGAAAGCACCATTGATTTTTATAGCAGTTTAAAGAAAAAATCATACGTGAATTCTGAAAGAAGGGGTGATGAAGTGATTTGTGCATTGAGCTAACAGCAAGGTCAATCGCTCACAGTCACCAGCTGTCCTGAAAGAGAAGCCTAAGGCTCTCTGCTCCTGCAAAGATCTACAGTCTCTGGAACCACAGGAGCAGTCTACTCTGTCCGACAGGCCACTACGAGTCAGAATCAACTGACTGGCAGTGAGTTTGGTTTGGTGTATGTTAATAGTAAGAACTATAGCATACATTATACGAAAAGCTCCATATGTATTAGTCCCTGGGCAGTGCAAATATTTAACAAACCAGCTAAACTTCAGACTGAAAGGTCAGATGCACACTGAGGTGTTCTGATGGCTTGACAACTGAGTTCCAAAAACCATGTATTGAAATAAGAGATTAAAAAATATATATACAACTGAAAAAGAAAATCATAGGAAAAGACAAGAAATGTATCAGCCCACAAGCCACCAACCAACGTAGAGAGCAGCAGAATCAGAGGGAAACAAAAAGTTGTGAGGATGTAAAATCATCATGGAATAAGAAAGAGTTTGATATTTATAGTCGTGCTGCTGAGATGTCTCCTAACCACACTGCCATTGTTATAGAACAGCCCCTAGAGCATGTATGTTAAACTTGCGCAAGGTTTAATTTAGGCTGTCTGGTGGAGTAGTGGTTATGAGTTGGGCTGCTAACTGCAAGGTCAGCAGTGTGGAACCACCGGCCAGCTCAGCGGGAGAAAGACACTGCTTTCTACTCCTGTAAAGAGTTCCAGTCTTGGATACTCGGGGCAGTTGTACCCTGCAGTATAGGGTCACTATGAGTCCATGAGTTTGGTTTGATTTGGGAGAGGTTTAATTTGCAAGCATAGTGTCCCTACCGTCAGTTCAACCTATGTCAAGTACAAAAGGACCCCAGGGCGGGATAGTGGGTTCCACGGGGGCTGCCCAAGGCAAAGTCAACAGTTTAAAACAACCGAGAAAGCTAAGGATCACCCTTCCTGGAAAGATTCAGAGCTTTGGAAACCCACACGGGCGGGTCTACCCTAGTCTATTGTGTTATGATGAGTTGGATTCTAGTTCACTGTAGTGAGTATTTTGGTACGGAAATAAGCTTCAAATCAGCCTTTTGAAGTTTCTTGGGCCCCTTTAAAGAGAAACACCTAGGGACCAGTAGATATCCTCCTCGCACCAAAATTTTCTTTTGCCTCTGGAGGTTTCAAAAGTTTGGTCAGCAAATTCCCAATGTATGTATAGATGATAAAAATGAAAAGATCTCCTAAATATTGGATTGTCTTTCAGCCAAATAACAGATTGGCTTTTACAGTAAGTTATAATTACAGAATTATTGAATCATATAATTGATTGTAAAAGCAATTTTCTCTGTAAACTTTTACCCAAATCACAAAAAGTTAAAATACATAAGGAAAACAAACACATACCCCAAATACAATAAAATATCCCTCATGAGACCAAAGAGTCAACATTTACCAAAAGCAAAAATTGAAAGGCAAGAGGGGAAGAGAAGCTAAATCAATGGAAACAACACAAAGAGAACCCAAATAATACGGAAACAGCAAACAAATGTATCCGATTGGACCCAAATCGGTATTAAATGGAACACTAGTTTTCTGTGTAAACGTTCACCTAACAGCCATAACCAAGAACACCTTTAAAGAATGAGTTACTGGGCTTGGAGGCTCAGAGTCATAGTTTTTTTGGGGAACAAGGCATTACCATCAACTGGCATATTGTCCACAACAGCAATGCTCCCTTATCTCACTTTGGTAAACAGCTAACCGTTTCTGAGCATCCATCTAAGGTGTCCCATTGTGAGAAATGCAATAAACTTAACAAACAAACCGTGCTTGAATTGTTGAGTACAAAAGCAATTTGTCCGTAAACTTAAAAAAAGAAAAAAACCAAAAACTTTCACTGAAAACATAATAAAATATTTTTTAAATGGAAAAAATAAAAATGTTTATAAGTCTCCTGGGATATTTTGACATATGAAGGGGCTTCAAAAAGTTCATGGAAAAATTCCAATATCTTTTCATTCCATTTCTACAAACTTTTTGAAGGAATCGCACATATGCCTACTTTATGTTTAATTGCTTGGGATACTATTGCACCAACCTCAGCCCAAGTATTTTCAACAGAATCAAAATGGGTGCGATTAATTACTTGTTACGTTTCTACCAATAACAACTACTATAAAAACAATAATATCCACATTTTAAAAGTTAAAGAATAAGAAGTTTAATGTACTTTTAATGTTCTATTTATAAATATATTATTTACGTTTTCATTTTTTATAAAGGCCAATTACTTCAAATTCAGAGTTCCTGGATGATTATATGCTTCCCATACAGGGGAGGGGAGCAACAAGATCCCCAGGGAATGATAAGGGTGGACATTGGGGACAGGGCGTGGTGCCCCAACAGGCTGGACTGGAAAACACTCTTAAACGCCAGCGATCCTTGAACTAACTACAAGCTTTTCTTTCTTGGTATATTTTAATTTTTTCTTTGTCAGTGGCTTGATGTTGTTGCTGCTTTGTTGTACATTGTTGCTGAGTTTTGCGCTGTCTTTTTTGTGTGCATGTTGTTGTCTCCGCAGGCCTGTCTGGATAGGACAGGCTGGATGAACAATCTGGAGGAGAAAACA